GGAGGTGATTGAGTCTACGATAGACTCTCTGGGAGGCGACTAGAACGATAGGCAGAACACTTCGAGGAACCATTCAGCTGACATACAGTTGGTCTACGGTTGCCCACTATCTAGTCGGATCCTGAATGCAAAACTTAGATACGCCTTCCAAAATTTGTAGAAGATGAGTAAGCCTTGAGTAACCTGAAATGAGTAAGGACCAGATGCACCAGTATTGAGGGAGAGGGGTGTATTTAACGAAGTTGGTAGGTGATTACCGGTTGGATTGACTGTGTTAATTAACGTAGGGAAAAATAGATATGATCTTTTCTCACTCGTATCAGTCACTGACTATCCCCATCTTCAGGGAAGTTGAGAATTCCTCTTGTGATAACCATAAGGAAATCAGTTTGATGTGCCTATGATTCTACGTTCTATAATTGCCAGACGTCTGGGTACAGATCAGGAATAGGAAATCACCTAGGTGAGTTTCGGACCAGATATCTGGCCTTTATAAGTTTCTGGAGCACAGGCACACCTCCTAACGTGCGGCAACACCCCCGTTGAAGGCCTATACATCTGAACACTCTGGGTTACGTTAGAGTTATCTTTTGAATTACGTACGTCGAATGGTGTCCGTCTGTTGTCAATTTACTTCACAGGGGTTGATCTTATCACAGGAGAATCCTTATTATATCTAAAGCATGCAGATGGCATAGTCTTGTTAGATGAAGATGCTGACAAAATGCAAAGCTCTCTGGAGATCTTGGGCGGCGATTTGAGAACGTTTGACGTGCATTTCTCCCCATCCAAGTGCGGATTGTAGCTCCAGAAGTGGTCTTCACTGTTGCCTTGTGTAAAGATAGGAAGTGGTTAAGTTTGATGACAACTTCACTTACTTGGTAATTGGAAAAAGCCCTGGTGGGTCAGTGATCGATGGGATCTCTACATGGCTACAAAAGTTTCGTTTCACTTTCACCAACTGCGCTGCGATATCGAATTGTCTGTCAAGGGCCAAGTGTACTGCATTGTAGTTCTCTCCGTCTCCTAAATGGTTTTGAAACGTGACCACTAAAGTTAAAGGACTTGCGAAGGCTTCAGGTTTTTGACCTCAGTTTTTTTGTGGCATAGGACATGTGTTATGGTGTCACTAGGTGAGTGATGGGTGAATCAGAAGCAGGGTTTTTAGGGAGAGGAAATTTACTTGCTGAAGTTGTGAACGTTCACGGACTCAAATAGACTTGGACATGTGTGATGTGTGCCTGGTTATCATCTCTCCCGTCATACAATGTTAGCTGAAGTAGGTTGAAGATGGAAAAGGGTTAGAGGTGGTCAAAATGAAACATAGGATCAGTCCATGACAACTCTGACCATTAGTGTGAGTTGTGTAGGGACATGTTAACTTCTGGATTAGGATCTGCGTGATAATAGAAACCAGTGGTTGGGGTTCTAGATGATGTGGCTGGGAATCGACGTCAATGGTGCAAATGTTAGTCGTCATATTGAATTTCAGAATTGTTTCACTCCTCCTTGTTCTCTTTTGATGAGTTTCAATGACTTTTGACTAGTTTCTTCTTTATTGCTTTATAGTTCATCTTGATGGATCTTCACTTGATGTGTTGATATGAGTTGTGGCAGTTTGGATTGTTATTTTGTAATTTCGCCTTCCATGTTCATACTATCTGTCTTGAGTTATAATTGAACTGTTGCGGAGAAAAAACAACAGGGGTAAACGAAATTAGAAGGAGCAAATAAAGGGTACAATAGGATCACTAGATATTAGTGTGTTTAGTATCCTGAAAGTACTAAGTAGTTAACATGTGTGTGGTCAACTGTTAGACGTGTCACCGATCTTTGACGTGAACGGTGGCCTTGAAACGTTGGAATTCAGTAGATAAAGAATCTTGGTGATATGGCTGAATATCGACAGTGGTGGCTCAGATGTATTCACTTATTACGTTCAAAATTTGGAAAACGTTTTTAACCCCTATTACTATGTTTTTCCGCTTTGTGCCGTTTCATCGACCTTATATTAACGACTTTATTTCACCTAATATTTTTGCATCCTTTTATATGGTGTTGTGAAGTGTGTCAACTGTATTTCTGGATAGCTTTCTTGTTGCTTATCTGTTTGACTTCCTACATCTTGAATAAGTCAGTCAAGGAGCCCATACTTATCGAACTTGCTCATAACATTTTCAGACTTAAGACGTAATTATTATGTTTTAAAATGGTCAAGGCTGTGACTAGTCTAAGCCAAAAACTGCATCCCTTGACGATCTGAATCCATATACCTTTGATGATGGTGGTTAGAACTGCTAGTTTGATTAAGGTTTTAGATGCAGTATGAAAATCGGATGTAGTTCTTTTATATGCTCTTGATGATAAACTGTTCTGCTCCACAAATGAATCATCTTGAGATGGCTAGAAATGATCAACTTCACTGACAGTTTCCGCGATTTTACGAACTAGTTACCGGATTCCGTAACTAAATTAGGAACAGCGAATCCGAAAACTCAGATATTTTTAAATTTTGTTTGCGTTTGTACCGTCTAAGATTCTATTATGCACCAGTTCCTGACAGGCATATCCGTAGTAATGCAAAAGTTATGCTGAGCTTTGAAATGTACAAAATAGTGAGTTGGATTTAATTACATTCACAAACAGTTTGTTGAAAATAAGTCTAATTAACATGAACATGTAAGCTGTTATTAAAGATGCAACTATTTAAGAATAAGGTTTAACAAAAGATAATGTCTTTGAATCTAACCTAACTCCGATTAGTAGTGGTCTTTAAACAACTTCATTTTAACAGTTACCTACTATGATGTTGCTGGAAAATATAATTTTTTTAATACCTTAAGCTTCCCAGGGGTTAATTTTTTATCTGTAAGCAGAAATCAAGGGAAGAATTTGTTTAGATGCAGAGTTTTCTGAATAGGGATATCAAGGCGTTTGAAGTGCATTTTTTACTTTTCAAATATAGAAGAATGATCATCAAATGACTTACACAGACGCTTAGTTTTATGAAAACAGTTAATAAAGTAATCATTGCAGTTGCGTGGGAAATTGTAGCAAACATTGGCAATTCATGAACAACGGAATATGAACTCGAATACAATTCAAGGTTCGTTTCTGCCACCACTTTCACCTGTCTACCCAAGGTATGGTGTACGACGCCACTACCTGTACTGCTTTTTTCACTTCGTACTGACTTGATTGTTTACCAAAAATTATGAGGTGATAGCTATCGTCTTGTATTAGTTTGTTATCTGTAACAGTTAAGTTGTATTTATTGTTGTTTTTAGCCGTGGACTGTACATGTTGACGAGAACTATGTGATTTGGGACAGCTGGTTCGGTCGAGTTTCAGATTGTCAGCTTTTGGCAATTGTTCGGTTTTTAGATGGAGCACGGTAAGTTATGAAACACCTGCTTTTCATATTAGAGGATGCAGCTGTAACTCGATATGATTTAAATTTCCGGTTTACAATTTCCACCTAACAAAAATTCAGTTACCATCGTCGCATTGAACTAGACAGTTAGTGTTAGCCTTTTTTCTTAGCGATTGAATTGTCCGAACATACAACCCTTCTTTTGTAAACTTTCTGTCTGTGCACACTTCACGGTATATTTATACGTGTTAACCTGTTGATGGACTTAAGTTGACACTGTGCGTAGAAAAGTGAATTAGTCAGAAGATTTTGCATTTGAACGTGGTGATGTATTAGACTGTGGTTATGCATACTCTTGTTTGTTTTGATGCAGTATCTTTGATGCATCGATATATTATTCCCAGCTGACGTTATACTGAGTAGTGACCAGCAGGTCAATTCAATATCTGCGTTTCTACCCTACGGGTGACTTTTCAGTTATGTGACACTTGGTGTTTCTCTGTGAAAATTCATCAAAGAATTTAAGCGTTATCCGCTAAGTTACCATGTTATGATAACCACCTTTTGTTCAACAGATTTTATTTATTATTAAGGTTTGATCATTCCACTTTCGTCTGCAGTTCGGTATGTTTTTTACATTAATTAATAACTGGGCTTAACGAAAATTATTTTATCAAGTCAAATGTCGTCTTTCACTAACTTCATGGATCATAAAATCCATTTCTTTTTAGATTGCACTAAAATTCAATGGTTCTCTCATTGGTTTTTAATAGGTGTACTTATGTTGTCTAAACGAAAAGTATTGTCGAGAGATACTGTTACTGAAACCACTCAGACTGACCAGTAGGATTTCATCAACCAGATCAGAGTGATGTAAACACCGGATAGCCGTTTCGTTCGTTTGGGATTGGCTTTTGGTTTCGTTTCACCTTTATTTTCGAAGTCGGCTGCAATACACGAATTTCTACGCGATTATTCAACAAAATTAGTTTTTCTGACAAAATATTTCTTCTCCCTACCCGAAATTAAACACTTCAGTAGTAGCACTCATTCGTGTTTTGTAAATGCTAATTAGGATCTTCAGCAGCTATGTAGTCTATCTGACCTAAGTTTTTTCATCTTTTGCTAGGTGATACAGTAATAGTGTAGGACTGCTATTCACTTTTTGCTGTCACTTAAAAAATGAAAGTGGTCAGTAGTATTAGAATAATTTGAGTCACTGAATGTTTGAAAAGGGATCGGGTGACATCGATTGTATTTTTTTTACTATAGTTTGCACTTGTAATAGTGAAAAATAGTACTGTAATAGTTTTCTCACTTAATATTCTTATAAAGTTTTAACAGTAATCATGTGGTGCTCACAAGTCACCCTTATTTAATATTTACTTATTTAAATTTGAACATGTGATATATATATATATATATATATATATATATATATATATATATATATATATATATATATATATATATATATATATACTCTTATTGGATTGTTCCCGAGGTCGGTTCGCACTGAGTAATATGCACTACTGCTAAGTCGATAATTGCGTTTGTGTAGCAAATAAAGCAGATGCGTTGTTTGTTTCTGTCATATCTAAATGCATTGTATCTACAGGCGATTGTTGCTGGTTGTGGTTGATCACATAGACTATCTATTTTATGAATATCTAGTTTTTTAAAACTTATTCTGTTTTCTTGAGGTTATTCAATATCAGCAGCTGGGTATCACTTAGAGATCTGTAGTTTTTAAAGTTATTCTTTTCTTACCTTTAACTGAAGTCGAAGATCAATCATGAAAATGTTGGTTCTCTGGAGGAAATAGTTATTTCAATTCCAATTTTATCAGAAGTGTAACTTCATCCATGTGTCTACACTATCTACGGATGCATAGTCACTATCTGCTCCGTCACAAAATGTTAGCTGAAGTAGGTTGAAGATGGAAAAGGGTTAGAAGTGGTCAAAATGAAACATAGGATCAGTCCATGACAACTCTGACCATTAGTGTGAGTTGTGTAGGGACATGTTAACTTCTGGATTAGGATCTGCGTGATAATAGAAACCAGTGGTTGGGGTTCTAGATGATGTGGCTGGGAATCGACGTCAGTGGTGCAAATGTGTTTACACGTTATCTTCATGTTAGTCGTCATATTGAATTTCAGAATTGTTTCACTCCTCCTTGTTCTCTTTTGATGAGTTTCAATGACTTTTGACTAGTTTCTTCTTTATTGCTTTATAGTTCATCTTGATGGATCTTCACTTGATGTGTTGATATGAGTCGTGTCAGCTTGAACCGTTAGACTATAATGACACGTCCTGATATTATCTTGGCTGACTGAGTTCTTTGTTGCCCACGACGTTAGTTGTAAAAGTTTTGGTGCCGAATTGTCCATGTATTTCTAGTTGAAAAAATAGATGAGATCAGTTTGTGTTGCACTCCAAGGACATAATGAGATTAGAAAGAGCATTTTGGAAAAGAATGTGCTGATCGTGTCATGAAAGACTCTTGGTTCATGTTCAGTGCAGTCACCTGATTCTGAGGAAGGGGAAGCTTAACTGTGCGGAGCAACCTGATGTTCAGTAAATTATCGAAATACTAGGAGTCAGGTGATTTAGCACAAATGTCTTAGCACTACTGTTTTATTCAAATTCAGGATATAAGTTGGAAATTCCGTGTTCAATTATGAACTTTCGGTGGTTATAGCAGTTAGTTGAAGTCTGAATCACTTGTATACGTTGTTTATTCCCATAATGTTTCTTACCGTCCTGGTGGTAATATATAGAACTGCCATTCATATTATGAGAGATCTATGAGAAGTCCTCTCTGTAGATATCATACTTCATAAGTTTTACTGAATTTGATGGCATAATTCTGCAAAATTTATGTTAAAAAGGGAACAACAAGGAGAATTTTCAGATAACTATGGAAATTTGTGAACTACCTACGAAGAAATGAGTTCACTTCAGTCACTTGATTAGTTCTCATGTGAGCATAACAATACAGCATATTATGCCTGGTTTTACATTTCTGAAATGTTTTTCTGAGCATAAGAGATATGAAGAAAAGTTGGCTTATTTTCTCAGTTAATCGATACATGTTCCTAACCACTATGTCATCTATCTGTATATATGTTCAACTTCATAAGCTTTCCATACGAAACCTCAAACTAGCCGAAACAGTATCAGAATTACCAATATTGGCGAAATGTTGATTGAAATGATGATAAGTGGATTGGCTTTCTTGAAACAAAACGGCTGGCAAAATAAGAACAGTAGGGTATAGCCTCTGGATGTTAGTATTTATTAACTGTTGCTTAGAGAAACTGTTGCTGAATTGATGGTGTCGGCCATAAACTTCCTTGATAGTCCATTAACATGATGTTATAGAGACCAAAGTTAAAAGACAGCGATTTCTGATATTCTTTAGAGGAATCTTGGATTATGGTGCTCTAGATATTTTAGTTGCACTGGAAAATTTTGACCACTTCAAAAAACTTGAATCGACCACCACCACCGTCTCCAACTAGTCTAGAAATACCACCAATAGCCCAGTCGCACAACTACCAGTGAACACAAGCCCTACGACAAAAGCAGAAGTGAAGTCCTGAACGCCATGAAGCTCCTAAAAGCCGGGAAAACAGCACCACCAGATGGAATTCTGCCAGAAGCACTGAAAACAGTCACAGAGACATCAGCAACGGACATGCTCACACCACGTTGCACAAACTCGAAGATCTACAGGTGAAAACCAACAAGTTGGCAGAAGAGGCTAGGCAGCGAAGACGTGACTTCAAGTGAACGTAGAGAAGACAGAGGTAGGTGATGAAGATACTAAACCAACAACAGCATCAACACCAAGTACAAATCACCATTAACCATAGAAACTTAGAGGAAGTAGCCTCTTTCACCTACCCATCTACCTAAGCAGGGCAGCATCGTTTCAACTACAGGCGGCACAGGTACAGATGAGGACGTCAAAGTCAGGATGGGAAAGACAGCAAGACACGCCTTCATCAACCTGAAATCAGTGTGGAGATCTACTGCACTCAACTCAGCATGAAGCGTGAACAAGATCCGGATTTTCAACACCAACATCAAGTCAGTGCTTCTGTATGGTTCAGAAACTTGTCGCGTCATGGAAAGCATTTCCAACAAACTACAAACATTCATCAACAGCTGCCTATGCTGGCTCGATACCGAAAGATCAAATGGTCAGAAAGAATAAGAATAAGCAACAAGGAATTCTGGTAACCAACTAACCAAGAACCTATTACCCAACAAATATGCAGAAGAAAGTGGAGATGGATTGGATTGGGCATACACTGAGAAGGCCGATTGGGGACATCACGCACCAGGCCAGGTACTCGAGTGGAACCCAGATGGGAAACGACGAGTCGGGCGTCCCAGACGAGAGTGATATGGAGGAGAACATGTGAGGAATAAATGAGGGCTTGTGGGCAGTCGTGGGGCCAGGTTCAAAAGATTGCAGAGAACAGAGTAGAATGGAGGCGTGCTACTGAAGCCCTATGTTCCACTAGGAACCGAAGGTAAAAGCAGTATGATGATAAGAACATTTTAATGGTAAAATCCATCCAACTGAGAGTAGAAATCCAGGAGACCCTGTAAAACACCTTGCATGTGACTGACTTGTTTTGAACGTGTTTCGAACGTTTTCTGTAATGTCAGGAGAAATTATCATTTTGCCTTACATTACCTATTTAATCCATAAATGTCAACATTGGCCTAGCAATACTGCTTAACAGATCAATTTGCCACACGTCATATCATTTTCAAGTCAAGAAATATAGGTAGCTAACTCCAACATAAAAAAGTTATGCCAATTCTGATTTTTTGTTTTAGGTGATAGCAACCAGTGGCGTTGTTTGCAGGTGTATCCATTACAGATTTGCTGATAGAAAAACTATATCTAATCTTTAATTTTGCAGAACCGTTATTCTAATTGAACTTTACCTTAACGATTTACTGTATGCATGCACCATGTCAAGACACTTATGAAATGAAGAGTTCTCTTGTTAGTGAAGATAAGTGTTTTCCCTTTATTTTCCGTGTAGACTTCTTGTTGCGCATGGTTGTTTGGAGTATTTCGAACCTGTTTTGTCTGTGTCCGATGAATATTCAAGCAGTGCTTTTGAAGGAGCTTGGTTAACTGGTGATGCTTTAGACCTAAGATCCAATATGAACCACTCAAAATGTGGCAAATTCAACTTCCCTGGTCTATCTTTGAGTTCATTCCTCGGTAAATATGACAATGCTGAAAATCCAGTTGCCACTTCGGCAAATAATTCTGAGTTATCCTCAAATGTAGCCAGTGACTCGAATCCTCTGGATGCGAAGTTTCCTGCTGGACATCCTGCTAAATTTCTACAAGCACTTTCTCAGTATCCTGTTACCAAAACATTCGCTCGCTATCCGGAACAGATTTCTTGTCTTTTAAAGCGTACTCCTATTTTCCTAGTTGAAACACGTGCTCATAACGCCCTTTGGCTTTCTCGATTAAAATCAAGTACAGATGTCCAATTTTTTGTCGAACATCTTGCTCCTGTTTGAAGCTACTGTCCACTGGTTTGCTAATCGGTAAGTTCTCACTATGACTCATAATATGCATAAAATGTGGCGTATTGCAAATCAGTGTTACGGAAATAATGTTGGTTATATAATAACTGTAATAATATTCTTGTGGAAATTCGTTCAAAAGTTTGCCGAAAAAGAATGATACTGCGAAAACAGTTACACAAATTACGCGATATTGAGATTTATCTTTGGTGGGAAAAGGTTATCATGTACATGAGTGAAATCCAGAACATTAAACATTTAATTAATTACGAGAAAACGCAATGCTACAATATATTTACATAGGATTTATTGTTGTTAGATAGTCGTAGACATGAACACCTGTAAACCTAAGCATGGTTAGAACTGTGTTTCTACTTTTTGTATACTAATCACCCCTTACTGCGTTAGGTTTCAGTTTGCCCTAATAATCAATCATAATCAATAATGTTGTAGACGTGGACGCTTGTAATATCACGACTCATTAACGAAGCCATACTAATTGACTCCTTGTTTTACCGTTATGCAGTGCTGACTGGATTAAACCAAATATCGTAATACTTCTGTTGTGAAAAAACTATCTTCCCACTTCTTCTAACTAGTTCTAGAGCCAGTAAACAGTATGTGGCCCGCTGGGATGAAATTCGTGATACGTATAGAGTTTACTGATGTCCTTTCTTTTGGATGACTGCATTCACTGAACGACAACCTCCATCACCTCCAAATACATGCTGTTTAACTTTAGAATTACTTGTCTGATGTTCCCACCAGATTCTAGCTATTCTACGAAGACAACGTTTATTGAAAATGTAGTCTTTTACCATCTTCAGCTCGGAGAGACCTTGTTTTACAGGTATCGAGGAAAACTTCTGACACCTAGGCTTTGTATGCCTGATCTTAACAAAAGTGCTAGCGCTGCGACTGGGCTGATAGCGACGTCCATTGTCGCATGCTCTGTCCATTGATGTACAGTTAGCAATCTTAGTCATTCATCCACCAGTACTAATACAACTCAGATACACAGACTTTCTAACTACTTTCAGTGGTTCATCTCCAGGATGAATGAAAACATAAACTCCACACAGTTTTGTAGAAGCCACATTGCAAGTCCATGGTGAAACGCCTACATCATACTTACAAATGCTGATCAAATAATCTATGTGATCTAGCACAGTAAAATGATATCATCCACACACTCCTGTGACAGCAGATCTACACCACCACTTTCACTTCATAGCTGTATATGGAATGTCAGTGATGAGAAAGTTGGTGAGGAATTAGAAAGCAGGTAACCATGAATGACTTTGAAAGCCACCCTAGCAACTGATAAGACAGCTAATTACATCTCTTCATTTTACGGAAAAGCACTTTTCCAGGCGAAATATCGAAGCCTGATTGGTCATTCCAGCAGTTACTAAGGTGGTCGTTAAAGTCGTCCGTAACCTTGCCTTAATTCAATTTTTGTTTGGAACACAAGGATACTGATTTTGTGTTTTGTGCTGCCTGGGGTTTTTTTGTACAGGACATTCAAGATGTTAACAAGCTTTTTGATGGTGTTGTATTTTCTTAACTTGATTGTTTAATCAATTAAATAATCCAGGTCAGAGAACACAACATCAAAATTATTCATTTGAGCTACAAATGTTCTCCATCATCTTAACAAGCTTCTCAGGAACTCCTCTATAGTGCACAATTGCAGATAGTTTTGTCTAACGAACATAGGGCAGTCTTAATATCAAAAGTGATTATCTTTGGTCTTCAATGCGTGTGGCGATGTTTGAGCATCTGGTGAAAAGTGAACACAGTGAGAAGTGATCAGAGTGCAAACAAGTCCTCCAAATAAGTGACTCCTAAATGCATCCATTCCATCGGTAGTTCATTGCTATATTATCTATTTAAGTCCAAGTTTGAGTGGCGAAGAGAGGACTTCAGGTAGCGTAACGATGATGGCTATGCTGGAAATCGTTGTTGGCTGGAGATTGGTTATGATCTGTGCAAGCTGCAGAAGGCGGTTTCCGTTATCCGACCAGTAACCGACTAATCCCGATTGGTCTTCTGAAGGACTCTTAGGATCCCGATCTACAGATTCACAGTTAGCAGTCCTATATCTTTTTAGCTCACTTGATAGAAGGGGTCACTCAGTTGATAGCAGAGCTCCTCCTGTACTGCACGTGGGTTACAGCCAGTCGGGGCTTAGGCAGAGATAGTGAAGAAACACAATTCCCCTCGTCAGTTACTTCCAAGTCGATTAGAATCTCTTAATCTAAGAGCCCACAGACAACTAATAATATTAGGGAACTAATCAATTAGAGCAGATTCGGCTAAAAAGAACAAATGGGATGATTAAATAGTACTTTCTTTGCACAAATCTAGTTTCTCGCAGAAAGATTTAGCAAGCGTGTAAAAGCCTACACCATAAATGTTATTTCTTGTTTTGTGGGTTGTGATCCTACCTGGAGGCTAGGTCAAAGGAAATATTTGTTTTAGGGACCGCTCTCCCAGCCTTTTACTTGAAGTCTGACATACAAGGCAAGGTTGCAAAGCCAGGTGTTGCATTCCTATGTTGAGTGTTAACCGATTTGACGGTTTCGGATCTCTAAGCTCCTATGCACCATTGATTTAAATCAAGGTTTACTAATTGTTTTAGGTGAATTCTGGGTATCCATAGGTTCACTAATAAGCCTGGTTTCGTTCGCTTCAGTCGTCTTGCCTTTGTGGAAACACCTCTGCCAAATGTTTTAATAAACAGAAGAAAGCGAAATAGAGGTCTCAGACAAGTGTTCTCAATCGTATCGCGTTACTCATTTTAAAAGACACTACCTAAGACTTATTGAATGGTATTGTTATATATCTCAACTCAACAACTGTTTATTAACCTCTTTCTTATTTGTATGCTTGAAATTAAGGAATGTTAAACGTTACAGTTATTGTACACAAGTCCACAAGTTAGTTATTACATTTCTGTGAAATATGGTACGATCTGAGTACATGGTTCAGTTGAAGATATCTATCACTCAGAGTAGGAATAACAACAACGATACGAAGCTTCTTAGTCTTGTATTTTGCGGAGAAGGGAATGAAGGAACAGCTGGCTGAAGGTTTGCAGATTTCTCTTTGTGTAAAGTAGAACAATAAGTGAACAGTATTGTTCCCATTTTTCGTCTTCAGGCTTTACTCTAATACAAATAACTACGTAAACGTAAAAAAACTAGACCAATCATGTGAATTTGTCGGTGCATGCGGTGTGTTTTGAAATAACGATAGTAGCGGTAATAATAATAATAATAATAATAATAATAATAATAATAATAATAATAATAATAATGCTGACAGCGTTGACTAGAACAGTTGTAATATAGATAATATGATGATGAGAACCATGAAAACAACATGGAAATGTAGTCACTGTGATAATCCTAGTGGGTCAAAAGCTTGGAAAAACAAAAGTTGCGTAATACTGGAGGACAAAGTAAATGGATAAACTAAGTTTAAACAGATATAAGTTTATGAAAGTAGTGAAGAATAAGGAAGGGATAGGAAAAATTCCAATCATAAAGTTGTTGATGAACTATTCCCTGACCAAGGGAGATATAAGGAATGTAAAAACTTCTGGATACAAAGACTACGATTAGTAGCTTGAGTCCTCACAGCTCCTGCTATGTGTGAAAGACGAGTCCGAATACCTTTTGAAAGATAAGGCGGTATGCATACCATATTCAGATAGCGAGGGGTGTCCAAAGAAACACGTGACAGCGTCATCGTGAGTTACTCTGATGGTTATTCTAGTAACCTTCAAAATGGCAAATTACGTTTCAGTTCTACTGCAAAGGTATTTTTTCATAGAATAGTGTAACACAATTAATAATTTGAAGTGCTGTCACAACTCACTTTTAAATTAGCTCGTCAAAGCTATATTTTTCACTTAAATGTATCAGTCACGAGCGACCAGTAAGTAAGACCTCCTGGGCATAGGCTATGAGAATTTAGCCGTATGAACGGCCTCGTACCATCTCCATTCATACCGGGCAGATAGTAAGATGATCGTACGATCTTTGTGAAGAAAACATTGTCTTACTACCTTCTTTACTTTTGGTCAGTTGTAAGTCTATGTTTGTGTGATTTCTATTCACATTATTAGTTCCATTCATCTAATGAATGTGATGCAGTACGCGATGCGATAAGTTTATCAATCTTCTTGACAGTCACTCAGTTTTGGTCTTAGGGAATATTCTTAAATAAATTGGAATCAGTTATTCAATAAATCCGTTCTCGTGAAAACTAATCACTCCGTCACACTACGCTCTATCGTATCTGTATTTACCGTGCAAGTGTACATATTTCTTATCTCCGTTAATCACCTGCTTTGATAAGATGGCTTTCTGTATAAATGAAGAAATCTGTCCAGTGATTATGTATGCGATGATGCTGTAAGATCTCTCTACAAGAACAGCTAGTTTCAAAGTAGGGAGTAGGGTAGTGGAGTACGTTGAACACTTCATTTTTCGAGGGGAGTTGCCTCAACCATGATAATTTGGTTTCTGATGAAAATTTGGCGTGGATACAAAAGGCTTACTTCGTACTTACCAACTTTTTTGTTCATGAAGTCAGTAAAGTATTCAATTGTCAAATGGCTAGTATACTGCATTAAATTGGCCACTGCCACGCTTTGCATCTTGCGTAAATTTAATAGATAATAGAGTTTTTCATCAATTACGGGTATTTTCAAAGTGGCATTTGTGCGTAGCGAAATTAAAAAAGCGAACAATTTTAAAGTGTTACGTAGAGTGCTGTCCAAGGAAGGCAAGTCAGTTAGTGAGGTTGCAAACCAACACTAAGTGAAGTGACTGAGATTCATTCTGTGCATCTGACTGCGATTTTTGTGACTTTGTGAATTAGTGGTTTGAGTTTTTCGATGTCGTGGTTAAAAGTGGATCATAGTGGCGCAGATGTATTTATGATTAACAAAGTCCCCAAAATATTGACTGTTCTATATTTTCCTGTCATTTGGTTCTTGTTTGATTCTAGACCGTCTTACTGTTTCCTATTTTTTGTGTTTCTGTGAAAATTTCCAGTCTTTTTGGTATGTCCATCTTTTCATAACGACATGAATTCGATAAAAGATTGTATCACTTAATTTAGATTTCCCCCCCACTAACTTTTAAAGGAATTCGCAATCAGACAAGCCACCTCCGCGTGTAGTCCGTGGATTAGATATGGGGAATTTGAAAACTGTCATTCCAAACTCTTTTATCAACTGTCAGGTTGGTGATATCTGGTACTATCAGCTTCAGGAAACTGATATTCTTTATGACATGTAAGCGAACTAATACAGTTCAATCATTTTTGTTTTATTTCACCATTTTTAAAGAGATATGTCTTGGAAACTACTGCCGAACAATTCGATTGATAATTGCTTGTAATATCCTTGATTGTATCGGTGGTATAAAAGCATCTGGAAACAATCATTGTTCTTTCCTTCCACAGAGTCATTCGCATACTTAACTCAATACACTGCTTACTTTCGTATTCCAAATCCATAATTTGTTTTCAAATAGTTTACGCATCAACAAATTTATTTGTTTTCAGGTTGGTGTTCATCATGGACTGACATTAGTTGGAGAGACACTAAAAACCTGGAGCACTGGACAGCTGTTTCCTTCTAGTACGGGACCACTCAGCAGTGCGCACTCACGACCCCACAAGGGGCCGAACGCAGGACCTTCAAGTCTCGCGGTCACCACGTTACCATCGAGCCATTGAGTTGGAATCCGATGGTCCACATTTCCTACTTCTATCAGTTCACAATATAGCGCCATCTCCATCCAATACTTCACAATCTCGACAAACCTCTAAATTGCAAGTATTTTCTTTGCAACGAAATCGTTCTTTCAAGTGAACATACAGTAGAAACGATAGAATATTCCAGAGTAATTTCTGGCCAAAGTTGCGAATAAATTGTATGATAAAGGAAAGCTATATATGATCGATATAAGAGTAAAGCTTAGGCACTGTAGCAGAGTATAATTCTGTATTAAATTATAAAATAATAGGAATGCAGCAAAGAGTTACTGCTTTATGCAACGCATTCCCAGGCTGTACAGTTACATATATATAGAAGGAATATTAGCAAAATCCAGCCCCGAATAAAGATCTGGATATTCGAATCAGAGTTACGTAGTGTGAAAGCTAAAACAAGGATAAGCAACTAGGTTGCGTGATGTAATGCACTTAAAAAAACTGAGTACAGTTCAACAATCGAAAATTAGAGCTGTAAGGTAGAAGGATATGTCATAAGGAGAGAAGACGTAATAAGGATATGTAGAGATATTTCCATAGGCAAAATCTTAATAAACGTTAAATTCAATTTAAGTCTAGTGCATGAACAAACTTCTTTTGTATACAGATTTCAGGCGTTAAATATGAATTGCCAGGACTTCTGCAGTTTGAAAAAGTCATATTCCAACGAAATTTATAGATGACAATGAAGTTAGATTGTGGGTCCACCTGGTTATATGTTTGATGATGCATTTAGAAAGCAAACTCTGAGTACGGCCGACATATCTTGCTCCATAGGACCAGGTGAACCGATAGATGCAAATTCAGGAGATCAACAGCGATAACCCACCCTTTACTCATAGTCGTTAGTTTTGTGGAGAAATTGGGGGAGTTGTGACTCGTTGGTTTAGATAGTCGACTTTCAACCACTGGGTCACGTGCTGGAACATCGCTCCGCCTACCGAGGTTTCGGCAACTAGGTAGTAAAACTAGCTGTCAAACAATAGATGTGGCTAACTGCCTCCTGCAGGAACCTGCACAAGGATGATGAATGGATTTCTATTTGATTTATTCAGAGAAATTGGGTCAAAGTTTAGTTGCAAGTAGAGTTTTTCTCAATGAATGGAGCAGACAGTTTTCTATTGTTTCCGTCCTGTCGATCTCCATTGAACTTTAAATTCAAGAAGAGCAGCTTTTTATAAACGACAGGTGTGTTTGGTTTGGTTGATCTCGGCTTCTTAGTTTTTCTAATGAAACGTTTAGGATGGTTGTTTCCACTCAGAGCATTTTAAAGAGTATTTAGCTCTTCGTCTGTGGCATCATTATTGCAGATGTTAGGGACTCTATGATATAAGAAACGGACCAGATTCCGACCGTAGGAGTTAGTGAGCTACCTGTTCCACGCAGGTTTTTTTCGGATAGATCTTTTCAGTGACCCATTTCTATTTCATGTTACTTGTGCATTTTAAGATGACATCTTCAAAATTGATTTCTTTTCTAATGTGAACTGAAATACTGGGCGACAGTTGTTAAAAAAACGTAGGGTATTCTCCAAGTTATCTGTATCATTAGATATTATAAAGGTGTCATCTAAGTATCGTATATAAAATCTGGAATGGTCGATCATTTTGCTCAACCATATGTTTTCAAGCTTCAGTAAAAGTCTGCAAGCACAGGGCCCAGTGGTGAACCCGTAGCTGCGCCATTCTTTTGCATGTATACTTGGTTATTGAAGGAGAGTTGGCACTTGCATCTGATCAATAGATTTAGACGCCGAGTGGGTATGGCAATATCTAACGTCTTTGAATCAATATATTTTCTTAAGATATGATCTCACTAAATGAAGGATTCATAAACAAGGAGACTACCCTAAAGGGGAACATAATTTTATCGCAGTAATAAGCATTATCAATACATTTGACAAAGTCAAAAGAATCACTCAGCTTTCTAATTAGCTGCAAAAGTTTGAATAACTATTGGGCGATGCCATTATAAAGTATTAACATGCTTTTGGAAGTATTTCTTTTCAATTATCGATTCAATGTTATATATATTCAATTGCACAGATTGAGAGTGAGTTGGTGACAAAAGTAACTCTTCGCTAAGTTCCTTTTGTTTTATGATACTATGGGAATTTTCAAATTACCGTATTAGATCTGTAAATTTGATGTAGCAAACAGCGAAACAGTATTATTTACTGAATGGTGTTTCGTGTAGAATTCATTGTGCATGATTATACAAGGTCTTTGACATGATTCAATTCAATGCATTCTTGAAATAGTGCAGAATATTTGTAGCTCATGTGGATGGTCTTGGTTGTATTGTGTTCTCTGAGCTGGGTTGTTTAATCATCAAGCTTTCATCGTCCTTCTAGACGATATCATCAGCACTAACTTCAGCATAAAGTTAGCTGTCAATATGTCTCCGTGAGGGATTTAGTAGCTTGCCTTGACGAAGTGGTCTGTGATTGGTTGTTTCCTTCTTTTGTTGTATCATTGACTGCATAGATTTTCTTGTTGGCTGTTCCTCTGCTTGACCTCTGACCTTCCTGTCGTTTATCATTTTTCTCATTGGTTGATGGACTGGGTCTATGTCTATACATCTGTTGATTACTGACCGACTGGCCTGAACGCCACGCTTCTAGGAATTCTCTGACATTTTTGTGTACCCTCTTCCCGTCCAAAATTTCCAGATTGTCCAAATTGAATTTATGTCCATAATTATCCACATGCATTGAAATGAGTGATGAAATGTCGTCACGTTTAAAGGTCAATTGGTGTTCATGTAGACGAAGGCGAAGAGGGCGACCAGTTTGTCCAATGTAGTGTTGACTACAGTTATTGCAGTTGATTTTGTAAATGATATTCGGTTTGTCTTCTTTGGTTGTCGCATCCTTTACTCTGGATAATAGTGTTTGCAGGGAATTTGTTGATTTATGAGCCACACCAATTTCAAGTGGTCTCAATAATCCTTTCGTAATTTCTGATATATTCTTTATGTATGGTAGGATGATGATGATCATCATCATCAATATCAACATAGGACCAGGCACTACTGTGTAACGGTCCGAGTTACCACAGCTCAGTACCGTAGATCAAGTAAAAAGGTAGTGAGGTGAAGGATGAAGATAAGAGAATGCAGTCAAAAGAAATATAAAGTGTGAGAAGAAAGAAAGGAATAATGAGAAAATGGTGAGATTTGATATGCGTCGTTAAGATAACGATACTGTGTGTATACATCTTCGCCACTGACATCGGTTTTGAGCCAAATCACCTAGAGTCTCCAACCACTGGTTCCTCTTCTCCTGCGGACCCCAACCACCTAGTCTGCATCGACCCACATGTCTCAAACCAACATTCAGAGACTTCATACATTGATGCCATGTTTTAGTCTTGCCACCTCGAGCCTTTTTCCAGCCTGGACCCACCTCAGCCAACATTGTGTGACGGGGCAATCGGTGACTAGGCATACGTAGTACGTGTCCCAACCATGTGAATCGATGAAGGTTCATAACCTCGTCAACTGATTTACCCCTACTCCCTAGAACTCTATACCTGACTTCTGCATAACTCATGTGGTGACACCACGGAATACGGCCTATGCTACGAAGGCAATGGTGGTCAAACACTTGAAGCCTTCTTATATCTTCCACTTTCAATGGCCATGTTTCACAGCCATATAGTAGAACAGATCGAACTGCTGTGTAGTGCATGCGACCCTTAGTAGGCTATCGTATATCACGGCGGCGCCACAGGTGGTGTATGTTGGCAAAAGCCGGCCGAGCTTTTTGTATTCGTGCAGAGATTTCATCGACCACTGAGCTAGCCACTAGGGCTGATCCTACTTCCCAGGTAAGTGAAGTGGTCGGCACACTCGACCACTACACTCTTTATTGTTAGCCGTGGTACCGCTGAAGACCAATCCTGGAGCAAAAATTTGCATTTGGATGGTGAGAACCGCATATTGAACATTCTCAAATTGCCACTCAGTGTTCAGAAGACTCTGCATGTTGTCAGCGTCTTCACCTAACAGGACTATGTCATCTGCATATTCTAGGTCTAAGGAAAATTCTCCTGTGATTAGGTCAACGTCTGTGTAACCTGGTGACGAGAGGGAGACCTTTATAAGAATATCTATGATGAGATTGAATAAGAATGGAGACAGTGAGCACCGTTGACGGACAGCACTCGATGAGCATAGCCCCCTGGACATCTCACCATAGGCTCTAACACGCCCACAAATGTTCGAGTAGAGAGCCTTCAATAAAGTGATGTACTTACTCGGCACACACCTTTCAGTGAGAGACATTGCCATTGATCAACGGAGTCGAATGCCGCCTTCAGGTCGAGGAATACAGCTAATGTCGGGCGTCTGTAAGCGTGCCTATGTTCCAGGACCTGGTGCAGTGTGAATACTTGGTCGATACACCCGTGGCCGGGTCTAAAGCCTGCCTGGTTTAGGGTTAGGGTCTTGTTGTTCCCGAGCTGTACTCAGATGTTGGAGAATTATAGAACCTAGAATCTTGTACACTATGTTGGTCAGGCTGATTCTTCTGTGGTTATCACAAGAGGACTTTTCGCCTTTCTTGAAGACTGGGATGGTCAGTGATTTAGACCAGTTAGAGGGGATCGTATTTGACTCCCATACACTGGTTAACACTTCGGTTAACCTGATTAAGAGCATTCTACCAGCATCCTTGTAAACCTCTGGAGTTAATCCATCTGGTCCTGCCGCCCTTCCTTGTTTCGGATTGCCTACCGCTTTCTCGAATTCTGCTAGTGTTTGAGGGCCTATCTCAATGTTCCCTTTACGATCTGACTGAATAGCGGGCAATGCAATGGTGGCTGGAGGCCAGTTAAACTGTTCCTTGAAGTGTTCTGCCCATCGTTCCAGTCGTCTCCCCTAAGAGTGAATCGCAAATCCGTCCTTCTCCGCTATGGTCTCACTAACCGTTTTTGACCTTTTCCCCCAGTCTCCTTCATAAGTCTAAATAACTGTCTACTACTACCGATCACCGCTGCCTTTTCCATCTCTCTGGCCTTCGCTGCCCACCACTGTTGGCGATCGTTGCGTAGACTTTTCTCAATCTACTTTTAAGTTATGCCCATTCTTCATTGTACTCAGAGTCTGCAGGGATGCGTTCACATGCGTCCATTAGTTCGGAAGAAGCTGCTGATATCCACTGGCTCTTTTTAGCCACTATTTTGGAGTCGGCTACGGTCTTCAACGCTGCTTTTACAGCAGACTGGAGATGGAACCAAACTTCTTCTGGATGAGTGACAGTCTTTTGTTTCGATAACTGCCTAGCCAACTTCTCACTGAACACGGCTTTGGTGTTTTCGTTGTCCAGCAGCATTCGTAGTGGTCTTGTTGCCGAATTTATCTTACGTCCATTGAGACGCAGGCGTATACGCGCTCGGACCAGCGCGTGATCGCTGTCCAAATACGTGCTCGAGAAGGAGCGGCAGTCTTCCACCGATCCTCTCCAGCGATGACTAATAGCAATGTGGTCTATCTGTGTCCACCGCTGAGTTGAGCTCGGTGGACGCCACGTCAGACAGTGTCTTTCTTTATGTCTGAAATTGGTGCTAGCTAAAAATAGGCGGTTATCTGAGCATAGTTGTAATAGGCGATCACCGTTATCTGTATGTTCAGCTGGGATTCCGAAAGTGCCACCTAACTGCCTTTCTGTCTCACTCAGTCTACCCACCTGTGCATTGGAATCACCTGTAACAACCACGACGTCTGAACGTTTGACTTTCGAAAGGAGGGTAGACAGTTTTCGGTAGAACTCGTCCTTCACTTCATCCGAAGTACAGTCAGTGGGTGCGTAAGCAGAGATTACAAAGAGACAACGGTGAGTTTCACTATTCCTTTTAGTTGTCACTGTGCCTTCAGGATAGCGCAGAGGCGACTATCAACTGGGATCCAGTCTAATAGTGAGTTTTCTGCCCTAGTGTTTAATGCTATGCCTACACCTGCAAGACCCCGAGAGGTATCTATCGAATGTCCAGAAACTCGAAGGGTGAATTTTGAGAATTCACCAGATTGTCTGGTAGAGGTTAGGTGAATAACCGCACTTGTGTCCTGTCTGCGTGTCTCACAAACACAGCACACATCCATGCACCAAGTTGCTAGTCTGCTAACGGAGCCTGTTGACCAATTTGACGGAGGGTGCGGAGATTGAAGGCTCCAATATGTAATTTGAAGCGTGGTTTAAGGCGACCAGGGATGCTGTTCTGTGGACTCAGATCGTTGTTGAAGGCTGCAGAGGTAGGGGAAATTGAAGATGATGTAGTATGGTTAGTTGAGAGACGTGAAGAAAGATTAGAAGGTAATGATGGAGGAGGTGGATAGTAGTCTGAGGAAACTTGAGTGCTGATCGAGTTGTGAGGGTGATTGACACTTCCCGGGTGCCCACACCGTGGAAGTCTATTTCTTCTTAAGGTACCTGTGTGACCGCAGAGGCCATCGGACATCTGCTTGAGGCCTGTCACACGTAGTCTTTTGTGTATGGTTGTTTTGAACTTTTGTATTTTTGTTTCTGGATGGTCGAAAAGAAACGATAAATGAACCAACACCGCCGGCCTGGCAGACCGTGGGGCGTGGTGGAGTGTTATTTCGGGGGCCGACCTTTTCTAACTCCGCCTTCCATTGAGAAGGTAGCATCAGCATGGGACTGCTGGTCATCCATGGGAAACACCTTGCTGCTGTCACACGTCATGTAGCTAGCAGCAGTACGACTTCGCCCTCAGACCCCCATCATAGTGTAGTAATTCACACCACCACGGTAACTGCTTTTTGTCTTACCGCTATCGAACAGACGTTTCTGGTATGGTAGGACCTCGAGGGAACAAGCGTTTCACCAGCATGTCTCGTTGGATCATTGTGATATGCGAGCGCGACCACCACGTAGCAGCTATCGGTGGGGATTTTCCCGTGTCCTGCCTGAGTTACTTAACGTCCTAATGAACGAAAGATGGAAGTGAAACCTGATAAGATCCCAGTTTTATTTGGCCGTCCTTCTAGTTTTTACTTGACCTTCTTCATTTTTTGATTTATTTAACCTTAAAATTTCAAATTTGTTTACATGGCCGAATAATAACTACAGTGCCAAATGTCATAGGGAAAACTTGATATATTTTTCGGCCGATTCATGTATATTTGTTTTGTAATGGTTTTGGTTATTTCCTTTTTATCACTTAAAGAAGTAATTTTACGCGACCTGAAGAAGTGTTATACAAATGGTTTACAAAGGATATTGCTAGTTTAGAATCATTGAAGACTTCATTTCTGTCGTCAGGATCTTTGGATAAAGATGCACAAACAGCTGGAACGAATAAGTTGAACGAAGAGTATACCAGTAGTGCCAAGGAGTTGGAGAAACCTATATCTGAGTCGTCAGTTGCATGTTGTAAGAATTCAGGACTATCCGTAAAGTCTGCAAACAAAACCACACCATTCTGGGTAAGTTTTGCAAACTTTCTAGAAGAAAGTCATGCAGTAAAGTGTACGTTTATTTTGTAATATTATAGTTGAATTTCCTACAGCATTACTTCAGTTACTCTAACATATCAGTACAAAAAATGAGAAAACTTCTATCTAATTTTCATGTTTGAAAATGAAAACAGTAAAAAATGTATGAATATGGTAAACTAATTTATCTGCCAACCGTCTGCAGTTATATGATGCATGTATTAAATTTCAGTCGCATTTGAAATGGTGGTAAACTTGAGGTAGGCTGTCCTTTGTTGAAATCATCCCAAGCCTATTCCGAAGACGGTCTTGTAGTTAACTCAAGAGGAAATTGAATCACACCCCCAACAAGTGTTTGGATTACTGCTTGCCGTTCTAGCTCATATAGGGATGGAAACACATTTTCCTAGAATTTTGACACAGTTGATGTGTGATACTAAACATTTTTATGAGACGTACACCATAAATCATTTTTACCTACCCCATAATTCATGGTTTGAAGCACTTCTCAGTTTATGGATAATACGCTCAAAGTTTTCGCCGTTATAAATGTTTTGACGGTAATTATATATATATATATATATATATATATATATATATATATATATATATATATATATATATATATATATATATATATATATATATATATATATATAGCATTTACCGTATTCTGTATCATTGTTTCCCCATTGTCTATGGTGTTCTTTACCCTTCGCTAACTCCTACAGCAACGTCGACATCATTCTACGGGAAATACACGTTGTGTTAGAGAAAACAGTCATTTGAGTCTTGTGTAAATTTTGAATGCATCTTTATTCTCATAGAAGTTGACCAATTGAGTACTTTCTGTTCATTTTCTGCAGTATCTCAGTTGCTTTTTTGCTTATTTCAGTGGAAAAGAGACCGTTATAATAATTTTTATATCTGTTTACTCATCACAGTCTATGGTAGTTCTTTCCCCTTTAATTCTGAGATAAGTTTTCCAATGATGGGATATATCTTATTTTATTCATTTTTAAGTTAATATTTGATGAACCAAATAACTGAGCTAGATGATTTAGGTTATTGTACCTGGACCCAAAAATTCACTGAAGCAAAGTCACACATGCTGTGAAAATATATTTCTAAGCAAGTGTGATTGAATTAGTTAAATTGTACCAAGAATATTAAAGGTCTCAGTGTCGGGTCTACAGATTGCACCACTGACGAGGCTTAATTTCTGACAAATTGTTTTGTTTTGTATCATGCGAAGATGGTCCAATAAGCAACATCCATACTCCACTTAACGTTCAAAATTCGGTTCACTGAAAGAAAATCTGGGGATATTTAAACACTGTTCTGTCTCTAGTTTATCAGATAATCATTCAACAGTGACCGTATGCTCACTGCTTCTTGAATTTGTTTTCCAATACAGGAGAGTCCATTAAGAAAAAAACACATATACGAATTGAACCATCTGTGATCTTGTTTCTATTCGTGACCAAAAAAGATTCTATTTGGTACATAAACGTCATTTACAAGCCAAGAAATAAATGATAATTCTACTTAAATACGATTAAGCTGAAATCGACGATATTCTTACTCAACGATCCAGGTGATAAACTAAACTTGATTATATGATAAAAGTAAGTTTAATACTTGGTGGACCACAGCTTCTTATGAGTTTCGTGCCAAGGATTTAACAGACGATTGAACGTATACTATTTCATTCCTTCTGGGATCAAGAGGGAATCAAATAGGCTAGTGCAAGACCCCCTACTCATACACAGAACGATACTGGAAATCTTAATGATACAGAGAAAAGATAAAAAATATCAAGAAATGTGTGGAAACTAACCATAAAACTGATGTGAACAGAAAATCAGATGCTTACAGAATAATCAAAAGTAATAGTGAAGAAAATTTTTGGCTCAGAATTGTTACAACTATTTGTCCCTTGGGTTCCTAGTGGAACATAGGGCTTCAATAAGGCGTCTCCATTCCACTCTGTTCTCTGCAATCTTTTGAACCTGGCCCCACGACTGCCCACAAGCCCTCATTTATTCCTCACATGTTCTCCTCCATATCACTCTCGTCTGGGACGCCCAACTTGTCGTTTCCCATCTGGGTTCCACTCGAGTACCTGGCCTGGTGCGTGATGTCCCCAATCGGCCTTCTCAGTGTATGCCCAATCCAATCCATCTCCACTTTCTTCTGCATATTTGTTGGGTAATAGGTTCTTGGTTAGTTGGTTACCAGAATTCCTTGTTGCTTATTCTTATTCTTTCTGACCATTTGATCTTTCGGTATCGAGCCAGCATAGGCAGCTGTTGATGAATGTTTGTAGTTTGTTGGAAATGCTTTCCATGACGCGACAAGTTTCTGAACCATACAGAAGCACTGACTTGATGTTGGTGTTGAAAATCCGGATCTTGTTCACGCTTCATGCTGAGTTGAGTGCAGTAGATCTCCACACTGATTTCAGGTTGATGAAGGCGTGTCTTGCTGTCTTTCCCATCCTGACTTTGACGTCCTCATCTGTGCCTGTGCCGCCTGTAGTTGAAACGATGCTGCGCTGCCTAGGTAGATGGGTAGGTGAAAGAGACTACTTCCTTTAGGTTTCTCCCGTTCATGGTGGTTGATCGCTGGTTGTTGTTGATGCTGTTGTTGGTTGAGTATCTTCATCCGCATATGATCTGTTCTTCCTGAATGCATGTAGGCAAGCAGGTAAGCAAGCAGGCAGGCAGTTACGATGGTAATTTTGAATCCTGATGACCTTTCAATCTCTGCAGGATGATGCGGCATAGTATTTTGGTTGCTAGGGGTGGACAGGAGTGGAGCATGATTCCGCACCAGTTCCTGTTGTTGCAAATACTTGGGTCTCCCTTCTTTGGGAGTTAGACAAGGTAGCCCTTCTTCCAATTGATTGGCAGGTACCTTTCCTTCCTTCCATGCCTTGTGCAGTAGTGTTGTGAGGATGTCCGCTGCTGATATCTCTGTGAGTGTATTCAGTGCTTCTGGCAGAATTGCATCTGGTGGTGCTGTTTTCCCGGCTTTTAGGAGCTTCATGGCGTTCAGGACTTGACTTCTGCTTTGTCGTGTTGCGGTGGTGGTGGTGGTGGTGGTGGTCGACTGGAGAGTTTTTTGAAGTGGTCAGCCTTAGTTTATCTTCTTTGGTAATTAGATTTCCTTGATCATTTTTTATTGGTTTTATCTGTGTTGATCTCTTCCCAGATAGCAATCTCGTTATTTGGTTGGTATAGTGTTGTCAGGTCTCTGTTACCAGTGGCCTGTTGTGCAAGTGTGTCGTAGAAGTGTCTTTTGTGTTTGTTTGCGTGCACTCTTCTTGACTTCATTGTCCATTGTAATGTTTTGTGGGTTGTGTTCAGTTCTTCTTTTCGTTGTTCATCCGTGCACTTGACTGGACTGCACTGTACTGCACTGGTTCATCTTCTGCTTCACTATCTTCCTCTCTGTGCTCTATCAGCTTCCATGTGTGTGTCTGTGGAGATCCATTCCTTGTGTTGTCTTGTCTTGTGTTGTGTTGTTTTGTCTTGCCTCTTCTTCCTTCCTAACACGGTTATGCAGGTTTCCTTCCACGTCTCTTTCAAAGAGTTCTATTGTTCTTGCACACGAGTTTCTTCAGGGATGTTGCTTAATGTCTCCCATGTTTTACTGATGGCTGACTGACGTGAATATGTCGCTTGTAGTTTTGTGCTTGAGTTTCTGTTTTGGATGTTGAAGTAGAACTGTGGTCTATTACCAACTTGTTATTTGTAGTTGTGTAGCGTAGTGTGTCATTGTATGATTGTGACTTTGCTTCCTTTTGAATTGAATGTTGGTGTGATGATGGTGCATGAGGTGATTGGTTCCCAGTGCGTGAGAGAGAGAGAGAGAGAGAGTCTTCGATGCTTCTGGGGACATTATGATATGCACTCGAAAATTCAGTGTGCTGGTGGTTGTCGTCTGAGTGACAATGTCGGAGTAGATTATTGATTGTACAGTTGACAGTTTGTAGAGTCCACTTCCATTCCATGTTGTTTCGCAGATTCCTAGCACTTGACTGCTATACCTTCTCACCTCGTTTGCAATGTGGGCATTCCATGTCGCGATGTTTACTTTCGGTTTCTTTGGGAGAAGAGAAGACACATTGTCCGACTGGCTTCTCGAAGGCTTTCACGAACTGGCGTCATTTCGTCTCCCCGATTGCAGTGAGGAATAAATTTGTTTGTATATTTGTGTACTTTGTTTGTGTTATGAGGTTTTTTTAGAGATTGAATAGTTTTTCCGTGGTGGGGTTGGTATCTGTATGCCCAATCTTCCCTCTTTATGTGGGCTTTGACCGGCTAGTAACTAGTGCAGTAGTTAACCAGAATGCTAATCATAATTATTATTTTTATTTACCGAGAGTCAATAATCGGTTGTCGATATTTAATCACCAGACTAGAGACTTCATCTGCACTTGCTTCATTTTGTAATTTCTGCAAACATACAATTATAGTAAATTATTTAAGACTTGAAGAAAAACAAAGATGAACGTGATGATCGTGTAATTGGATTTGAGAAGAGACTGAATAAGGATAATGATGATCAATAAGGCTTCCACTCACTAATTTCTGTTGTCAGCAAGGTTGTATTCGTGAAGGTCGCACGTTTTCTGCACCTGATACTTACTTGCAGTCATGGTTTCATGGGTGGACACTGAATGTAGGTTCTGAGTTATTCTACTCCTTCTCCAACTAATTTTATAATTCATGATAAATAGTTTTTAGGGTGTGTAATTTAACGCTTAGCAGCCTACACTGCCACTCCATCTGCTGATGTTTCGTTTTTAGGCATCACTTCATTCAAATTTAATGTCATTAAATCGGGGATGCCACATACCTTCTTAAAACACTTTTACTAGTTTCATATCACTTGCACGCTAAACGGCTATAATTTATATTCTTAAAGCAAAATAGTCAACTGTTGCATTGTATGTTAAGCACTTTTAAATATATATGTCTGCATAGTTTCACATCACGCTTGTTTTTTATGATATGGAATCATTGATTCTGTTTTCTTTGAAAAGGTTTATTCGTTTTTGTTGATATTCCCAACTTGAAATTCTTATTTCGAATACTATTCAAGGCACAAGTGAATTTATTTGCTACGCAACGTCGTCGTAGACGAGTCACGGTGGACCCACGACGTCGTCTTTCTGGTACGAATATTTTCCAATGGGCTCAAATATATGGTAAAACACTACCTCGCACTTCGTTTATTGACATCACTGCTAATATTACAAACTGTGGAAATGAACTGGATGAGTCTGGCGCACAAAAACGAACTAAACATGGGTCACAACCGCAGTCTGAAAATGAGCGACCGAAACGACAATGTGATAATCCCAATGAGAATTGTCATCAAGTAATGAGGTTAACGTGTAAACGGGTTTCTTGTGAAAATTCAACTAATGACGATAAAAATTTATCAAATTGTATAGTTAGCACCATAAACATTGATCAGCTGTCTGAATCCTCAATAAGTGAAGAAGCGACATCTGTACCGCCCCTGACATCAGTACCACCAACCTCCACTGCGGATGCAATTACTGATACTACCATGAAATATGCTGTTGACACGAACCAAGAATCACCACATCCAGCAGTGGATAGTACCTTATTAGACGAGGCGAAGAACTCTACAACTGATGTAACCTTACCATTGGTTCATGCAAGTGCTGAAGATGATGATGATGTCGAAAGAGATCAGCGGACGAAGAAATTGAATTCGTCAAAAGGCTCAAAACACACATCTGCTCTTCGTCAGCTAATTCGATCTATTCAAAAAGAATCCGCTCGCCAGTTCAAACCTGGTGACTGGGTACCTGTACGAATATACGCAACTAATTCAGTGTATGATATCAAATGGATTGATGGATCCGTATCAAAAGGTCTTACGTGTGATAAGATTGTAGCATTTGGCGGATATTCAGAACATTATATATTCCCTGGGTATTTAGTTTCTTTGAAGAATGGTAAGTGCCTTTCTTCCTTCGTGATACTTTGTGCAGTTTAATAATGCATTACACTTTCCTACTTATTAACAACTTTTTCACTTTGATTAGGTTGAAAGATGTAAAACGTGTATATGTAACACGATTCAACTTAATAGGAAAAAAACTGAACACATATAGGTTTACCTGCAGAATAAAAATAATGAAGTGGTCCCAAAAAACAGGTTGAAAGGGAAGTTAGTCAATCGTTTATCGAAAGACATTATTGTGATGGGATTAGACGTGTATGCTGCGAACTTTAGCTTAACCTACAGCTATTCGTGTACCGAAGATAGGCAATCAAGGACTTCACTGGTCGATGATATTTTATGTTTTAAATGTGAGAAGCATTTACAGTTCCGGTTTCATTAGAATCTCTTTCAGAAAACTTCATTCTCTGGTTAATAAAGTCGAAGTGTTTGTCATTTGTCTCGATTTTTGACTAATGCAATCTATCCAAAGGTTTTTTATAAGTTTGTCGATAAGTACAAGAGTACTTTTCCAGTTAAGAATATACATTTTAGTTGTAGTAATCATCGATACACCACTCGCCACTTTTCAGTGGCCTTTGCTGTTGGTTCATTTAACTCTATTGTTTACATCTCTATCATTTTCAATATTGTTTTTCCTCAGACAAAAGCTACTGTTCACAACCGATCCCAGTGAATTCACCTGCAAGTGAACCATCAGTACCAACCGAAACCATGGAGAAATTAGGTGTTCCGTCTAGGATTATCGATCCGACTTGCAGTCACCCACGTGACCTTGGCATAGCTCTTTCATACAATGCTAAGGATCGAACGTGTCTTGTTCAGTGGTTTACTATAGGGGCTAATAAAACGGGTCCCAAGTAAGTTTGGTATTCGTTTTTAAAACTGCAATGATAAGGTGAATTCATGTGTTGTTAACTAGTTGACAACTAGCTAATTTTTAATAGTTGCTTTTGTGATCTGCAGGACAAACATTTCAATCTTATTTTCTAAATTACTTTGAATTGTCATAGGTTACTCAGCTGCTATTGGATATTTAGCTCTGTGGTTCACCGTAAATTTGCAATTTATGCCATTTTTTTATTCACCAGATAAATTTGTGATGAAAATGGGTTGGGTCAAACACGAACTATTAATGATCAAAATTTCAAAGCAATAGATCTACTTTTATGAATGTAGATAGTGAGGTTAGCGAGGTGGACTTTATCTAAAAAATGTGCACAAGAAATACAAACCATCTGTTGGATCAGATCTATTCTTATCGAATGCGTCTTATATGAAAAGGAGGTAAGGCTGCATAAAATCGATTAGGGTTTACTGAAAAATGCACAAATAAGGTGACAAAGCGAAAATACCATATATCCATTCACTTTTCTAATTGAATAAGGCAAAGATTTTAAAAGTGGTTCGACATGTGAATGTGACTTTTTGGTATAGGTAGGCAGTTGAACTTCAAGCAACGTGTGCATAGTTCAATCCTGCTCCACCTACTTCAACCTCAGCAACTGGGTGGTATCATAAACCCATACACAATAAATATGGTTCATATTCTGTTTAAATCTGCATGTCCATGGTTGAGTTGTATTAAAACTATTTACTGAAAGGTGATTTGAATGTAAGAATTGGTTTACTGAAATAAATAAGGGCTTCAATTTTGACAGTAATCCACTCTTTTTTGGTATCCTTCTGAGTCTTGTTATACCACATAATATGGGTAGCCAAATAGTATTGAAGCGAAGTTCGATAGTGCAGCAAAAATCGTTTATCGGAAAACCGCAGTCACTAGAGATAAAAGTATTAAACTTTGCATTGGAAGTACACTGGCAAATATTTTCTTTTTCAGCATTCCAGTGTGCAGTGTTCTTGTACTCGATGTTCTGTCATTTCCTCTCCAGAATTTCTATCCGGCGATCGTTATCACTTCTTGGGTTTTCCGACGTTCATATGTCCATACTACTGATATAGATCCTCATAAGTAGCGTTCACGACAGTATCACCGACCTGCATGCAACTAATATGACCCATTGCATATTGGTAATTGTTTGATGTTTATTTTCAGACGCTTCATCACCAGGCTAGGTGACTTCTTCAGGTGCTAATCAATAATACTAATTTAAATTTTCAAATATCCATCGAATTGCTTTTTCTTGTTTACTTTTTGTAAAGGTCATTGATTCCCCTCAGTTCTCCTGAAGAAATCAGTGTTTACGAAATTGCTAAATCTGGAGAATATCAAACACATTATGGAGATATTGTGCTAATTAAATCTGAAGGTGATGATGATTATTCGATTTATCCAGCTGGTTTCCTAGAAGATATTATTCCAGAATCCGGGACGTTACTAGTTCGCTGGATTGATGGCACGTCAAGTGAAGTTTATCGTACAGACTGTTGGCAAGCAATTGAGTCTGTGAGTTAGTCTTTTTTAATCTTTATTCACATCGAAAGATTTTCCCTGTTCCCTAAAACTCTGAATTTATCGAACCGTTTCAAAAAGTAGTTTTTGTTTCTTTATAGATTCACTTTGGAAATCAGTTGTGGTCGACCAGATCAGAGACAGGTTTCTATGCTATGCAACATAGATGAATGGTTTGGAAACTTGTTGCCATTATCTTCCCTGTACATGCTTACTGAGTCATATATCTACTCCTCAGGCTATCTGAATAATTCAATTAGGCTATTCTCAGTTCGCTTCGATATGGTTCTACTGACTGATTTTGAACCATATAGCCTAGATTTTGCAACCATCAGTTTCGGTTATCTTAAAGAGCGAAACTAGGAAGTTAAATTTATCTGCGTGGTTTAACTCCATTATCAAAGATGTAATTGATTGTTCTATCCTGGCACCCTTAAATTCCTTACAACCCATTTATACTACTGTTAGAATTACTTATTCGGGTAGGTCGTAATGTGTAACTCATATTAATCACTACAAGCACTGAAGGTTTACTTCCTTTCTGACAAACGTACCTTACATAATGCTTCACTTTACTCACATACTTGTCGCACCACATGTACACAACTCTATAAGCACAGAAGTGATCAAATAACTAAAACCTCAAAATTTCCACCTTTGATAACCATTTTTCATATCCGTACGTAAGCAGTACACTCTACTGTTAAGAGATATTCGGATATCTCATTGTAGTAAGGTAGTATATGTGTGTGAATTAAAATGTCTCATACAGGCCGAGAAAGATTCATAGTGTCCATAATTGTGTTGCAGGATTTGACAGTGGTTTAAGATCTTATTGGTGTACCTTCTGGGTGGTCTGAAACCTGTTTGGTTTCTCAGGTTTACTATTATTGAGGTTCACGTAAGCACTGCATAGTTAAAAATGCTGGAATCTTAAAAAAAACTATTGTGGTTACCATTGCAAGATTGGACTGACAAAATCAACTGTGATTCCTGAGTAAAGGTCGCAGAATCCACCCTATGAGATTGTATGCGTTCATTCTGATAGGGTATAGTCTAGATTTATTGTTCTACAAGGGCATATGAACACTCAGTGTACTATAAATAATGGTTGTCATATTAACAGAACCTAAGCTCATTATGCAGGTAAGGTAGTTGATCTTGACTGATAAACAAGCTCATGTGAATAATGTTGACTAGTCATATGCATTTCTGAATACCAGTAAAAATTCCCATTATAAATAAAAACCATTCGAGTGAAAAAGGAATATTCTTTTCGATAACCTCTTCTTCAAATCCTACAGTTACATGTACACATTGAGGAATTATGCGTCAACATTATTGAGATTACGCTTATCAGTTTGTTAATAATGTAATACAGTTGAGGAAGTCAATTTAAGAAAGTTGTGTATGTGAAGGTTAATGATATAATCAATTATTACTGGAATTCAATCCTAAATAGTTGATTACCTAAACAACTATACGGCGTATGATAGTTTAATACAACAATAGGAAGGTGTTTATGAGAGCTGGATGAAATAAAGTGAGAGAGATAATTTAAGGAATACTAGCTTAACAGAATGCTACTCATGTTGGTTTACAAAATGGGTGAGGGAATGTGTTAAGGTTATTTCAGGTTATAGGGATGAAGGGGTGTCCATAATATAGAATTAGGGAATTAGATTACCTACTTTAGGATGCTAAGGAATCTTTTCGTCCTGAATGGGAGCACTGTAGTTGTAGCGGCAATACTTGCTTTTTCTGGACACATAACTCTGGTTATTTGATCCTGATTGCTACTGACTTTGGAGTTTCGAGGATTCGCAGCCTGGTGCCTATCGGCAAGTTGATGAAAACCCGGTACAGAATGGAAAACTATTTATTCGTATCTACCTTACGGCTCTTTTCAACCATGTGCGCTAATACGGAGTTGGTAATTGTCTTTGCCACACTTTTACTTAACCTCACTGAAAGCTGTTCGCAAGCACGGAAAACTAAATTCCTAAACAGGGGCCGACGGAACTAGTTCTATGGGAGCAGTCGAACTGATAAACAATAGAAAGTGGCCAGTCTGGGCAATTCATCTCTCAGTCTTGTGTCACCGTTGGTCGTATGGAAAACGAAATTTGTAATTTACCAACAAAGTTCTCTGAATTGATTGGCGTAGTTTGCGAACATATCACCTCTAAATTGGACCCAAATTTAAAGCGGTCTCCTCTGCTACCTTGTTTTAGAGGTACGTGTTTGTAAGAATACCAGTTTGTTTCTGGTGGTACTGTCAAATGAGAAAAACCACTGTCCCATTTTCAATCTAAGAGGAAGAATCTAAAAACGTTTTGACTTCACTAAGGTTATCTAAAATGGTTGAAATCATTCAGTAGTTGCATTATTGCGCCTCAAATCCAGCTATTTTTGTATGTATAACCTAAGGATTATACTGTTTTCACTTTCCTCGTCAACCCAGTATGTTCCAAGGTCATTTCTGAAAGGGTCAAGAACTCATACTATTGAGGAGCAGGTGCATTTTGTAAGTTAATCAGCTGTTAAAAGTGGGATTACTTATCTGGCCATTTTTTTCCCAATTGTATTTAAACTAGGAAGATGATTCTACAGACGAAGAGGATTCGATTGACTCCGATTTCAGCGATTCAGATTTTGACGTGGAAGAAAAGTGGGAGTCATATTCTACTTCTTCATACTCCGATTCTTCTGAGCTTTCTTCCTCTTCTGACGATACTGATAGCGTTGTTGTACAGTTGGTGCAGCTGACATATGAGGAAGATTTGCAGTGAGTCTAGATATATTGTCTTATATATTAAGTTGCACATGTACAACGAGAAATGTATTAATCAAGCAATGATAATATTTACATCTGTCTTTTCCATGAATGAGTGTTGTGGGTGATCAGTTTTCAGCTTCAGGACGAAAGTAATAATGACATTGGTTGTCTCACTGTGATAGCATGATAGCCACCTGATGGCTCGAAGGAAACATGTTCAAAGATTGAAATGACTGCCCAGTTTGTATGTATCCCGACCAATAACTCCTACCTAGACGTTGTGATCGGGCTTGTACATCACCGACTTTTACTGGTTGGAACACTTGTCATTTCGAGGTCCTACCATATCAGAAAGGTCTATTGGATAGTGGTTAGACGAAAAGCAGTTACCATTGTAGTGTAAATTACTACGCTATGATGGGAGTCTAACGGCGAAGTCGTAGTTTTGGCTGGATATGGTTTGACAGCAGTAACTTGTTTCCCGCTGGATGCCATGCTACGCTAATGCTGCGTGGAAACCACGAAATAAAATGGATGCATACTATTCTGCTAAAGTTGTTGTTCTTGCTCTATTTAAATTTGTGAAGGGTAAGAATTGTTCGAAACTTTTGATTTCTTTTTCCATTTTTCGTCTTGGTGTTTTCTACCCTGATGTGCTGATCTGTGGTGTTACAACTTCCACCTCTACCCAGTGATATCATGTTCCTTTTTGCTATTGATTATTTATCGATTGAAGTAGGATGTGATGGGATTTATCACTGTTGCTGATTGAGTCATCCTGAGGTATTCCATGCTTTCTACATGCAATACCAAAGTATCCAGTTTTTTTTTTTTTTGTGAATTTCTGATTGGTAGGAAAACTTGTGTCCAGATGTACACTTATGAATATTTTTGATAGGGACAGGAATCTTTGCTAGACACTTGTTACGATACAGTATATGAAAGGAAGATCATAACTTCGCCAGATTTTTCTCTATTTACACTCAAGTAATCAACGTGAACTTATCATTTGTGCTGCAAGATAGGCTGTCTCCATTACAGTCAAATATTTTAGATGCCAGAAGTCAGTCGTCAAGACGCACTAAACCCAGGCTTTGTTGGCACCCATCAGCTAATTTTGAGGATTCTGATGACCTCTTGGTGATTCTGATCTGCATCAGGCAATGATGAACTAAGGGATTTCATCGTGTACATGATTTGTTCAGCAGATGATAACTGATGTAATTGTCTAATCGTAAGTGCTCAGCACCGATCCAATTCTAGTCAGCAAGTTTCACAATATGGCCATTAAGCGAAAGGTCACAACACTATGGTGCCCCGTACTTCAGTGTTGTATCGGCACAGCCAGAAATCAAAAAGCCCTGCACCTAGGTTTCGTGCCCTCCAAGATTCATCAAAAAGGAGTATCGGCGACCAACGAGCACAAAACCTAACCCTAGGATATGCCCTTGGCTGACTGTTACCATATAACATCGAGATACAGTACACTATGGTGTAGTGTCACTTCCCGATTTATTATAATCATTAATAACATTATTATTATTTGTCCCGTGGGTTTCTAGTGGAACATAGGGCTTCAGTAGCACGCCTCCATTCTACTCTGTTCTCTGCAATCTTTTGAACCTGGCCCCACGACTGCCCACAAGCCCTCATTTATTCCTCACATGTTCTCCTCCATATCACTCTCGTCTGGGACACCCGACTCGTCGTTTCCCATCTGGTTCCACTCGAGTACCTGGCCTGGTGCGTGATGTCCCCAATCGGCCTTCTCAGTGTATGCCCAATCCAATCCATCTCCACTTTCTTCTGCATATTTGTTGGGTAATAGGTTCTTGGTTAGTTGGTTACCAGAATTCCTTGTTGCTTATTCTTATTCTTTCTGACCATTTGATCTTTCGGTATCGAGCCAGCATAGGCAGCTGTTGATGAATGTTTGTAGTTTGTTGGAAATGCTTTCCATGACGCGACAAGTTTCTGAACCATACAGAAGCACTGACTTGATGTTGGTGTTGAAAATCCGGATCTTGTTCACGCTTCATGCTGAGTTGAGTGCAGTAGATCTCCACACTGATTTCAGGTTGATGAAGGCGTGTCTTGCTGTCTTTCCCATCCTGACTTTGACGTCCTCATCTGTGCCTGTGCCGCCTGTAGTTGAAAACGATGCTGCGCTGCCTAGGTAGATGGGTAGGTGAAAGAGACTACTTCCTTTAGGTTTCTCCCGTTCATGGTGGTTGATCGCTGGTTGTTGTTGATGCTGTTGTTGGTTGAGTATCTTCATCCTCACATGATCTGTTCTTCCTGAATGCAGGTAGGCAGGCAGTTGCGATGGTAATTTTGTATCCGGATGACCTTTCAATCTCTGCAGGATGATGCGGCATAGTATTTGGTTGCTAGGGGTGGACAGGAGTGGAGCATGATTCCGCACCAGTTCCTGTTGTTGCAAATACTTGGGTCTCCCTTCTTTGGGAGTTAGACAAGGTAGCCCTTCTTCCAATTGATTGGCAGGTACCTTTCCTTCCTTCCATGCTTGTGCAGTAGTGTTGTGAGGATGTCCGCTGCTGATATCTCTGTGAGTGTATTCAGTGCTTCTGGCAGAATTGCATCTGGTGGTGCTGTTTTCCCGGCTTTTAGGAGCTTCATGGCGTTCAGGACTTGACTTCTGCTTTTGTCGTGTTGCGGTGGTGGTGGTGGTGGTGGTGGTCGACTGGAGAGTTTTTTGAAGTGGTCAGCCTTAGTTTATCTTCTTTGGTAATTAGATTTCCTTGATCATTTTTTATTGGTTTTATCTGTGTTGATCTCTTCCCAGATAGCAATCTCGTTATTTGGTTGGTATAGTGTTAGGGTTCTACGACTGCCCACAAGCTCTCATTTCCTCCTCGCGCGATCTCCTCCATGTCACCCGCGGACGTCCAACTCGTCGCTTCCCACGGGGATTCTACTCGAGGCCCTGACGCGTGATGTCCCCAGTCGGCCTTCTCAGTGCGTGGCCAATCCATCTCCACTTCCTCCTGCATATTTGTTGGGTGATAGGTTCTTGGTTGGTCCGTTCCCAGAGTTCCTTGTTGCTTATTCTTGTTACCTGGCCATCTGATCTTCAGTAGCGAGGGTAAGCAGTTATTGATGAATGTCTGTAGTTTATTGGAAATCCCTTTCGTGACGCGCCAGGTCTCTGAACCATACAGAAGCACTGACTTGATGTTAGTGCTGGAAATCCGGATCTTGTTCCACATGCTGAGTGGAGTGCAGAAGATCTCCACACTGGTTTCAGGCTAATGAACACCTGTCTTGCTTTTCCGATTCTGGCTGACTTTGACATCCTCGTCTGTGCCTGTGCCACCTGTAGTTGAGACAGTGCTTCCTAGATACGTGAAGGAGGTTACTTCCTTTAAGTTTCTACCGTTGATGGTGACTGGAGTTTGTTGTTGTTGGAGTTGTTGGTGCGGTATCTTCATCACCTCTGTCCTCTCTATATTCACTTGAAGTCCCGTCTTCGCTGCCTCTTCTGTCAACTTGTTAGTTTTCGCCTGTAGATCTTCAGGTTTGTGTGACATCAGGCACAAGTCATCACTGGCGAAATCCAGATCTTCTAGGTTCTTTTCCACAGTCCAGCCAGCCTATCCCCCTCTTCTCACAGCTCCCCACTGTTTGCTGCATGATCCAGTCCAGTCGACCACAATCAGGAATATCATTGGTGATAGTAGGCAACCTTGTTTCACTCCTGTGTCACTTCCACTCCAAAGGCATCACTGAGCTTCCCATTGTGAATTACTTGGCATGTGGCATCTTCATATAGTTGTTGAATGAGGTGGATAAAGGTTGGTTTGCGGTACTCTGTAGTAATGAAGCAGTTTCCAAATTACTTCTCGGTCAACGCTGTCAGAGGCCTTCTCAAAGTCGATGAAGTTGAGGTAGAGAGTCGACTGCCATTCTATACTCTGTTCTATGATGATGCGTAGTGTAGCGTTGCAATTTGGTCCACACATGATTTGTACTTCCTAAAGCCTGCCAGCCTGTTCCGGTCGTAATTTTGAATCCAGTGCATTCTTTAGTCTCTCCAAGATGATGCGGCTTAAGATTTTGTTTTTGTTCTTGCAAACACTGAGGTCTCCCTTCTTCGGGAGTTCGACAAGGTAACCCTTCTTCCAATCGCCAGGTACCTTCCCTTCCCTCCACACCTTCTGCAATAGTGGTGTGGTGTGAGCATGTCTGCTGTTGTCTCTGCGTCTGTCCTCAGTGCTTCTAGCGGGATCCCATCTGGTCCTGCTGCTTTCTCACATTTCAGTAGCTTTATGGTGTTCAGGACTTCCACTCTTGTTGGAGGATCTATGTTCACTTGTAGTTCAGCGGCTGCAGGTGGTATTGTATTTCTGGACGAAGTGCAGGTGGTGGTGGTGGTCGATTCAAGAGCTTTTTGAAGTGGTCGGTCCATCGTTTCCTTTGTTTCTCTTCTTTCGTAATTAAATTTCCATCATCATCTTTTATTGGTTTCGTCCGCGTTGATCTCTTCTCAGATAGCAACCTAGTTATTTGATACAATGTTGTCAGGTCTCTCTCTCCTACCTGCAGCCTGTTCTGCTTCACTTGCCAGTGTTTCGTAGAAATGTCTTTTGTCTTTCCAAGCACTCTTCTTCACTTCTTTGTCCAGTGTTTTATACAATGTACTCAGTTCCTCTTGTCGTTGAGCATCCTTTCACTGGTTTATCTTCTGCTTCACCATCCTCCTCTCCCTCCTCTATCAGCTTCCATGTATCCATTGAGGTCCACTCCTTGTCTTTTTTCTTCTTCCTTCCCAATACGCCTGTGCAGGTTTCTTTCCACATCTCTTTCAAAGACTTCCAGTGTTCTTCCACACAGGTTTCTTCAGGGATGTTGCCCAATATCTCCCATTTTGTCTTGATGGCTGACGTGAAGATCTCCTTTGTAGTTTCATCCTTCAGTTTCCCGAGTGTTGTACTTGAACTGAGGTCGTCTATCACCAGCTTCCTTAAAGGCTTATAACTCGATTTAGAAGGTTCCTTGCACTAGACAGTGAGTGGTGTGAACCTACATCTGCTCCTCTTTTTGACGTTGTGTTCAGTAGACTGCGTCTCCATTTTCTTGAGATTGAGATAAAGTCGATTTGATTTTTAGTGTGTCTATGTGGTGTCTGGTGAAATCCATGTCGCTGGCTTTGTGGATATCTTCATGTTTGTACACACTGGCTCTAATCACCAAATCATTGAATGCACAGAATTCTGCAGACAATTCTCCATTCTCGTTCATCATTTCACCGAGCGCTTCTTGACCCATGGTTAGTTCTCTTCCTGTGTTGTCCCCTCCCAGTTTGGCATTCATGTCATCGCATCCATTAGAATTTTGATGTCGCCATCTGGAGTGGTGTCTTGTCCAGTGCTGATTGCAGTTGTCTGTAGGAACTCCTCCTTCTTCTCTTCATCTGTATTATTTGTAGGTGCGTAGTGTAGCATTGTATGATTGTGACCTTCCTTCCTTCCTTTTGAGTTGAACCTTGCTGTCATGATTGTGGAGGAGATCGGTTCCTACTGTTCGAGAGCCTTCGATGCTGTTGGGGACATCATGATAGCCACTGGAAAACTCAGTGTGCTTGTGGTTGTCGTCTGGGTGACCATATCGGAGTAGGATTCTGATTCTTTAGTTGATTGTTTGGGGAGTCCACTCCCATTCCATCTGCTTTCTCAAATTCCAAGCACTTCATTGTGATACCTTCTCATCTCGTTTGCAATCTGGGCTGCCTTGCTGGGTTCAAACATGGTGCGGACATTCCATGTCCCCACGTTTACTTTCGCTTTCATCGAGTGAGAGAAGACACATCGGCCAATTGGCTTCCCGAAGGCTGTCACCAACTGGCATCATTTCGCCTCTCCGATTCCAGGGAGGAATAATTTTGTTTTTATTTTTTATATTTTGTTTGTGCTTTGAAGTTTGTTTAGCGGTTAGATTTGTTTTACGGGTAGGGTTGCTAGCCCTACGCCCAACCTTCCCTCTTTACCCGGGCTCAGGACCAGCTAGTAACTAGTGAACTAGTTAATCAGGCGAGGTTATGCATCATTTACTATATATATATATATATATATATATATATATATATATATATATATATATATATATATAACAAACAGTCACATGGTTTCTGATTTTTGAAGTTTTACCCATCTTTTTCAGAAAGTAGGTGGATATTTTTGTCTTTGTTATCGGTGTAAAATATATCTAGTTATATGAGTCTTTTTGTTATGAAATGTCTTTTTTTACAGTCCAGTCGCAGCCAAACTACTGCTCGCCAGCCAACATATTACATCTGCTCAGAGGCTGTTCTCTGACCGTTTCACTTTTGTTTTATGGTTGATGCGATGTTTTGCTACGATTCCAGGTGTTGCAGATGATATTCTGGAACAGATATATTCGACTCTGCGTAGTGCAGCTCTGGTAGATCCCGAAGAAGTTAGTGCTATCAATTTGGACTGCTCTCTGCTTGAATTAACGAATGTTCAAGGCGGTGATTCAGTCAAAACCCCCAGTAAAACATTTTCATTATCTGAAAAAGAAACTGCATGGAGTCATGTTGATGAAGTTGAGGCTGTATCATCCGTAGAAATGCTTAACACAGGACGGTCGCTACTCCATAAAGCTTTTCAACAGATTACTGACTATAGAATACAAAAAATGGTAGGTATCATTTTGTATCTCAACTGGCACGGTCCGTTCAGCTGGATACTTTTAATATGTTACGATTGAAGCCTGTCAAACAATCTACGTAGTTCCTGAATATAATACCTAGCCGTGAGAAAATATATAGTAATATCTTTTCGATTGCCTCAATCTATTTTTGAACGCTACCAATAGCGAACTGTTATTAGCAATCTCATACCTCTTGTCTTCCTGTTACTAATCGTAACTTGACTATTATTTCCCACTAACTTTTCAGTATCATGTAGGGGTAAACTTCACCTCCAGTAACTTGTACATTGAGTTGCAACTGAATCGATCACTGTCACTGTCATCCAGATACTTAACATTATTACATAGTAGTCCAGGTTGTTACACTTCAGGGTAGGAAACACCAGGACGAAAGGTGGGGAAATAGTGAGGAAATTATCGAAAGTAATAAATCATCATCATTATCAACATAGGACCAGGCATTACTGCGTAACGGTCCGAGTTGCCACACCTCATATCAGCACATCAAGTAAAAAGGTAGTGAGGTGAAGGATGAAGATAAGTGAATGCAGTCAAAAGAAATATAAAGTATGAGAAGAAAGGAAAGAGGAGTGACAAAATAGTGAGATTCGGCATAGCGTTGTTAAGATGAGGATAATGTGTGTATACATCTGCGCCACTGACTTCGGTTCTGAGCCATATCACCTAGGGTCTCCAACCACTGGTTCCTCTTGTCCCGCGGACCCCAACCACCTAGTCTGCATCGTCCTACATGGCTTAAACCAACAGTCAGAGACTTCATACATTGGTGCCATGTTTTAGTCTGGCCACCTCGGGCCTTTTTCCAGCCTGGACCCACCTCAGCCAACATTGTGTGACGAGGCAATCGGTGACTAGGCATACGTAGTACGTGTCCCAACCATCTCAGTCGATGAAGGTTCACAACCTCGTCGACTAGAGGGAGAAGAAACAAAACTACAACAGGATCGTTGTGACGACTAGGATGAATATAATGTTAGAATGCATTTGTGCCCCTGGTCCATTCTGATCCGTATCGCCTACAGTCTCCAACCACCGATTTTAGTTGTTACGCGCACACCAATCAAGAAGTCCATATTTCCTTATATGGCTCAGACCAGCAGCCGAAGACCTCGTTGACTGTTGTAGTTCAAGCTCTCTAACCTTTTCCCAGTATTGTGCGATGGAGCGAACAGTGACTAGGCATGCGTAACACACGTTAGAGCCATCCAAATCAATAAGCATTCCCAACATCATCATCATCATCAACTGTCAACTGCCATGAACTGTTGCCGCTACCTTTCCGTCCCCTTAATATTCACTACCCACTACTGCTTACTGTCATTGCGTAGACTATTTGTCAGTTAATGTCTGAATGGCTTCACCCACCATTGTGCTTGGAGCCTGCAGGAATGCGTTTGCGTGCGTACATGAAGATCCAGCGACTCTTTCTAACCTTTTTCCGAGAGTCGGTGACGGTCGCTAACTCTGTGTTTACCGCGAACTGGAGATGGGGCCAGTTTTCTTCCTCATGCATGATATTTGAGCTAGAGAAGTCAGGAAATATTGGAAACAAAGATGTGAAAGGTTGGTTATGGTTTGTTGAAAGTTGAGGGTTGTGAGAGCTGTTGACATGTGACAACTAATCACACTAAAGATTGTTGCTTAACTTGTTAACTCCTAGGATAAATTATAATTAGAAGTTGTAGTGGTTGCATGTAGCGCTTTACGGACATCTGTTCGGTTCATACTTCTTTTTGTCGCACTTTCTGTTTTGGTTAGATTGCCATAATTGTTGTGTGAGTATTTTATTGGTTCAACCGGAATACCGTGCGATCATGGAAATGTGTTTTTTTCGACACAATGTTTTTTGAACGTTCTTGGTCGGTAATTTTGCGTCAGAATGAACACTGGTCATCAATACGAAGTGTTTTACTGCTCTGACAGTCTCTTATCGAATGTACAATATCGTCTCCTTAGCTCATCATAGGGTACCTGTTAACGCTATAACAGCAGGTACTGTTCGTTCTACTAGTATCCTGCAAACTTCTTTAGTGTAGTAGCATGTTGAAAGGAAACGAAAAACGTTAAATGTTCTTAATAAGCTCATGAACATTCATGTTATAAGTAATAAAGCTTACCTATTGTCTGAAAGCTTATCATGCTACCTTTCTGCCCTAGCCTCGTAGGGTTCTTGGGGTTCCGAGCCATGGCTTATTGGTTGATTAAAGATTGGCATACCAAGCCACATAGTGCTTCAGGAGTGATATGAGTCGACCTCTATTTTAGGAATTGAGAGTAGATTGCTTAAATGCGTTGACCACTCCACTTACTTTAGCAGATGCAACATTCCAAGTGGACTAGTTGCTGATAAGTCTTCAGTTTGGTTGGAAAGGAGTCGCTTTGGAGTTCGCATACTTACGTGGAGCGTGTAAGATTTCTGACTAAATATTGAAGAACGAGTATACTGCTTGGCGGTTCTCTTTGCCCCATTTTGTAGCTGTGAGACAGGACTTCAAATGAATAGCATTTCTTTCAAAAGAGGTCATTGGCTCGTTGTGTTATGAAAGCCAGTCCACCACATCAAGTCAGGAGTTTTCGGTTACTGGTTTCGGCTGAATAGGAAACCTAATGGAGGTTAATATGTTATAGCATTTACAATGTAGGTAACTTTCCGTTGAGTTTATAGGACTTAGCGAAGTTGAGAACGGAAGTTGCTTCTAAGCGTTTAGAAATTTCCGGCTTATTGTCACCAGGCTTCTGTATAATGCCTGTAAAATTTCAAAACCTATGAGTTTGTTAAGGCAATGCGTGGAAGCACTAGTGTTGGTTAGTTTGTGGTAAAATAATTTTTCAAAACTTACGAGAGAGTTCATGTCAGTTACGATTTGTAACTGATATTGTTAGTAGTGGGAAGATAAGAGAGTTAGCATGGAACTCTCCATCTGAATACCTGTCATTAGCTGTCTGTAACATTTGTGCGTTGAATTGCATTGCGTTCTACATTTGTCTTTCTCAATAGTAATTGAAACACTCCAAGAAACCATTTGACTTATTATCCGCATTAACAGCAGGGGAATACCATGCTCTGTATTTGTTAAAGTGTTGATTGATATGACGATTATTCTGAATGCTCCCCAATAAGAAATCCGACCCCATGTTTCTCCATATTTTTTCATGAATACTGAAATCATTTAGTTCACGAAACTAAGTACCTTTTTTCTGAAACGGTCATCACTGTGATATGAAGCTATTGTCTTTCAATAGAAAAGTGTATTGTTTCGGAAAAGCTTTCTTTAATTTGTTCACTATGACTGATTTTTGAAATATTTGCTTCTGTCATATCATTCAAATTCTGCAAAGTCTGCAGAGGAACTCATTTCGAGGAATATGGTGGTCCTTCTTTTATGTCTTGAAGGATTTAACGTTTGGAACGTCTACCCATTTTTGGTCTTATGCTACTCCTAGTCGTATTCTGATAAAATGAGACTAGTGTGTTCATTTTTCAAAATCTTAAGTAGTATAATCAAATCTGTACGAGTTTAGGCATTGTTGTGAAGTTCTTGTGTCCATTGAATGTAAGATGTCCTATAGTTTTTAAAAATCAATTTCTATTTCGGAATTCAGTAAGCTTTGATCTTTGAATGTCATAGTCTTCTTGAAAGCCATACTTACGTAACACACCAATTCATTAATACCGCTTATGTTTTGACTTTGTTTTCAGTTTCGTCAGTGTGATTTCCGTTCAAATGTATTTGAGAAGCATATTGGAGAAATTTTGCGTTTATTTGAGTCTTTTCCACTGTCTACAACTTCATCGGAACTGAATACTAACATTACTGATTCAAATAAACTGATAAAGGAAGAAGGTCACACTCGCACTCAAGCACCAAACCCTATATATCGAAATCCTTTGAGTGAGTTTCATACGTATTTTAAGAACTTCCTACTGCTTGATTCTTAACACCTAGCGTATACCTTTTTAATTGAACCACCTTTTGTTCAGTCTAAACGTCTTAAAAGATGACTTTTATTCTAGAAAATGCGAAATTTACAATTATCATTGTATTCCAGTGCAGCGGACTGCGTTAACTATAGATCTTAAAAGGGTTAATGAGCGTTTGAAAAGTAGATGTGATTATCTGAAACAAATTCAAAATCTCTCACTACTTTTGTCTTGCAACAAAAATCCAAGACATTGCTGCTTTACAAAATTATCCCAACACTGAAAATTCCTGTTTTGGCTTTTCGATGTAGTATGGTTACTGTTGATTTCGATTGTCAGTCATATCTAATGATATCTCAATCAATCCAGTTACTTGAGTTCGTGAGCCGTACACACGAAGTCGTTGAACGCTAACCCAACACATCTCTCCTATTCACTGATCCCCTTTACGTTTCAAGTAACCACTCTCAGAGCTAGCAAACCGCAGACGTTATGGGAATTAATAAGATACATTGTGTAGGATGTGTTCAGGTTATCGATACTAATGTTTCAAGTTGGCCATATATGTTAGATGTCGGTGTTGGCTATGACCTCAAATTCACTGCTAGGCCTCGTAAATTTCGTACTCGTATTGACATTAGAAGTGAGTAGTTTTGCGTAGAGGGTGGTCATTTAACGTCATTAACCCAACGAAATAGAATTTTGGAACTGTCCATGACGAAGCGTTGTACATTACAGTCAGATTAACATCTGGGTGGTACCAGAGCAATGGTTAATTTTTCAATGACATAAGACAATAAAGCTGCAGCATGATCGATATATCCTTCGATTCGTAGCCCTACCACTTATCGTCTCAAGCCACTCAGTTGCATCATCTCTTCAACCCTAACCAAGGAGTCTTTAGACACTGGCATGCGTTAAAACATCAGAAATATCTCTCGTCTCTTGGCGCTATATCATAACATTCTTACCTCCACGCTTTTTTCTACTATTCTCAGCGCTATCAGATAGTGAATGATATGGGAGCCGGTGGGACAACTTTTGAATCCACTAATGCACGTTTTTCCAAGTGACTTCATTCAGTGAATGATGATCTCTATCACACCTAAATACACACACCACTTCACTTCAGAATTGCTTACATGGTGTTCCTCCTGGATACTAGCAGTCATACGCAGACAACAATGATGAAACATGTAAAGTCTTCAAACATCCTCAGCTCACTTAAACTAGTTTTAACAGGCGTAGAGGAGAACCGCTGATGACAGCGTGCTGTATATCCCATCTTTTACAGCCAGGCTAGGTTATAGATGGTGACATTGGCATATGTTTTCTTTCAAGTTAAGTAACGTTTATTTCCGCAAAGGTAATATTATTTTTTTTAACTTCTTTAGATCATTGTACTTCTGATCTTGTGGAATCCTTCAGTAGAAATGTAGGTTCGAAGACTAATTGCAATATGGTAGTCAAGTAAGTTAGCTAACTTTTGTATATACTGTAGAATGAATCTTTTATTCGGTTTTTACTAGATGTTTTGAGCAGTTTAATGTCATGCTCGAATATTGCATGGGGGATATAACTATTTCTCTCCAGGATCACAAAAGGTTGACATATATTCTGGTCAACATTTAAACGGTAGGCGTGGGGATGCACATTATTAAGTGTAAATGGAACTAAGGTGAGATGTAATTATTCTTATAGTGAACTGAACAGTACCGAATTCCACTCACGTACATATAGTGCATCCAGTTATGTGTCATCAATGTTCGGTCTACTGCTCTATTTTTCATCATAAAATTTTTTCTTCATAGTTAACATTCAAATGGATTTAATTTTTAAAATCCTACTTATTTGACAAGTATGTAATACATGCTATAACAAATATAACAGTTTTCTTATTGATTTAGAAAAACATTTTGTGACGATGACTTGTTAATATTTGCTTCTCAGGAGCTCTTCTGTAATAAGGTTAATTATCATTTACATTTAGGTGCTTATCAGAAAATCAGTACAAAATATCATCGTATTGCCTACAAATGATGTTTCAGACTGACACATCCACAGTTGAAAACAATAAAAATTCCTTATTCGGCTTCTTTTTAGTGCTATATCGTATATTTATGGTAGATGCTTTTGTTTTTCTGAATATATAGCTTCCTGTGCAAGCTAGGTGGATGAATCTGAAATCTTGAAGCACATATTCTCGAAGTTGGTTTTTTTTTTCTTTTTTAATATCCTATTTCTATTTTAATAATTTAGGTATATTTGAGTTTATTGTTTGTTCTTTTGTTGATTATTTTTCACAGTGCTACAATAATAATTAAATTAGCCAAATTTCTACATGCATTACAAAAGAATATTTTAGAACAACTTAGTGATTTAAACAATCAAATTGTAGCATGGCTACATGAATGTGCTCCACAGTGCCTACTTCAAACAGATTCAAATGATTACATTCCTGTGACGAAAAGCGATGATGAACGAACTGCTAATATTCCTGATTCAATTGACAGTTGTAAAACGGAGACTAAAGGTGATAGTAACCATGCAAACGGCGCAGAGAACGGTAGTTCAGAATATGAGGCAAATATAATGTCATCACCTAGTCTTATCATTTCTAATTCATCAAATGAAGTAAGATAATGAAGGCAGTTTTTTTTATTCATTGAAGTTTATATTTATTAAATGAGTTATTAGTATCGTCAAAAGTTTTCGTGAATTTCGTTTTGATGAATATTTTTTGTGGATTTTAGATGATCAATTTATCTAGTTCTGCAGCTGTATAGCTCATTGGTTTAGGCAGTTAACTTTGTTATAGAAACTGCTTACTGTTGTCTTGACTAACCAGTCCGCCACGAAACCCTTGTTTAGACATTGGAGCCAACAGATCTGGACATAGGGTAGGAAAGGCAAATTAGTGATGAAGATTTTTCCCCACGATATCAATTTCAAAAACTGTACATTGGCACGCATGTCTGTAGGACATAACAAGCTGATAGTGAATAATGGGATAACGTTTTGTCAGTCAAATAGTACTCAATTTGGTTTCTGCAAATGGATAAGGATAACGTAATACTGCAAAAGGTGGTGAAAGTGGATTCAGAATTTGATAAGGTGAAAATTGATACTGGGTGGTGATTGAAGATGAAATGAATATCTAGGCCTCGGCAGGATTCGAAGCAACAACCACTGAGTTTCCGATCCCATGGTTTACCAACTGAGTTACTAGACCCTGATACTGACCAGATTTTTTTTTATCTCACTTCAGTTACCAAGATTGGACAGTTGAGAGTCTGTTTCATAAATGTAAAAAAGGTATAAAAACGCCGGAAGTTTGATTCATAGTGAATTATTTAGTTATTATCAATTAAAAACAGCTAAGCTTTATAAATCCGGCAATGCACAAACACATTGCAAAGGTAATAAAGCCCAAAGTACAAAACATTTCATACTCCCTACTATCTATAATGATCATTTCTGTTAAAAACAATACCTTACCCTTCTCTGTGATTGTGATCAAGCATAAACCTTTCTTATTAATTACAATATCAATATAAATGCCTATGTTTTACTCCGAGCTAATAAAAGCATACTTCCTTTTTAGAGTTTTGCTTTAAATACTCGGAATGATTATCACTTTGACTTATGTGTTCGCTTAAAGTCTTCAAAAAATTTAATTACTGATAGAATCTGCTATCTCATGAACTATTTTCATACAAAATAGTGGTGTGCATAAATTGACTTTAATCTCTTGAGTTCTTTTTAATCATTTAACTGGTGGACTTCGGTTACTGAGTTACATTTCCCTTATGCTTCTGGTTCGCATGTGATATCTTGCTTTTCTTCTCAACCAACCTGTATCGAATAGATTTCAGCGTATAACAATTTATAACTAATTAGGTAGTAAACTTAATTTTAAATACTTCAATCAAACTTTCGGTGTTTTCAACATTTCATGTATTCTTCAGGTGAAAGAGGATTCCGTTATTATGGATGCTTCATCTGAAAATGTTGATCAAAATATCCTTGAACGTTCAGTCTCAGAGATTGAGTGTAAACCAAATGAGACGCTGTCTTCTAACTTTCCGATGACACCAGTCCTGTGTACTGCATCCGTTGAGTCACTTCCAAGTGGACAAGGAGGTAAAAATAGCTTCATTTCATTATTGTATAGTGATTTAATATTTTTCCCACTCGTTGATAGTTATAATTAATATTTCTTTGTTTTACTGAGTTCTAATTTGACCCTGTAATACTGATACCGAGTATTTCAGATTCCTAACTTTCATGAGACTATCAAGTTGGGTGTCTGAATAATTCAAAGGAATTCATTGAAAACTTACTGAAGGCATATAGAACGACACCAGTTTCAGCATCTCCAGATAACCAGTTTTGATTTAATGTAATATTTCATCGAAAAGTCATAAGGTCATGTGATGTTAAATGTTGTCATTGGAATTCAGCAAGGATTTACAAACTGATTCTGTAACTTAGGCTAGGATTTTTAGTTCTAATCAGAATACTCTATCGTATTTAAATCGATTGATTGACAGTTCCTATCATTTATTTCCTTCATATACTTCATAGAACACTAAACACCTCGCGTAGCAACAAAATTACTTTCGACAGACTTCATCATCTAATTCATTTGTCTAATTTCAGTGATTCCGTATTATGTATTTTACAATCAAGCCGAAAGCTATACTCCAAAAAAGAAGTTATCTATTTCGAAGCCACCAAAAGAATCATTCCAGCTTGACTGGTCAAAACAACGAAAACTGTCTCTTAGTGCTTTGAATTTACGCCAACTAACTATTGGATCATAGACTGGAGACTAAACCACATACTTGGACTTACGCAATTGAGTTCTATAAAAATTCACACTTTCGGTGTGATTTATAACCAAAATTTTTGATTGGAGTTTTTCAGTCTCATTATACAAAAGTATTTATAAATTATCTTCCTAACCAACCTAATAATAATAATAATAATACGTATAGTCACATGATTTTCTGCAAAGTTTCAAATGAACCTGATGGATTGTGAAAGCTTTTGAGGATTTCACATATATCGAAGTATATTGACCGTGACGGTCCAGACCATGACAAAAGACAATTTTTGTTTTTCGTAAAGTTCTTGATGCTGTGGATATATTAAAACCGAATTTTATGATTTTCTTGTTATTCCTAAACTCATGCAGCATGATTATTTTATGACCAACATGGACTGTCATTGTTTTCAGAAGCCATACAATTACTAGTAGTAGGTCATCATTTTCTTTAATATTGTTCATGGTTTGTCCTAATTGAGTTAAGAGACGAATACAGATTGTTGTTCTGATAGTTTTATAGTCGAGTTACCTCTCTTTTTTGTGGTTCTATTTATTTTTCTGTGTGTAGGTCAGTTCATAATGGAACCGATGGCTCCTTCCACTCATCGATTTTTCAAATCAAGTCAGAAAAATCTACCTAGCGCATTCCATAAAGCTTTAAAAACGTGATGTGAGTTGTTTTATTAGCCATAACAGTGAGTGGTTATGTTCACACCTTTTGACAATCTTTGAATTGTCTTTTCTGCAAACGATTACTATGTTATCGGATTTCAGCCAGTGACCCTCAGATGACTACTGGTCTGATTTTTAGGCAACTGAACCGCGATACACATATGGCAGCTTATTTAACTGTTGTGTATATTACAGAACAAGTAACTTACCTTCCTATTTTATCACACCTAAATCTAAATCAAGTAGATTTAGTTAGACAAAGCATCTGATTAGCTGTTGATTACACTGCATACGATAGACAGTCCTTGTTCTTAACTTCAAATAAAATGTGTTAATTACTGTTTTATCTTATAATCAGTGTGCAGTGGTTTTGATGAATAAACTTGGAGTTAAATGAACAATATTGATCTTCATAATTGTTGGATAGTTTATCAAATCATCTAATAGTATTCAGTATGTCTACTTTTAAGATTGGTAATAGTATTGCTTTCATCCAGCAAACAAATTTTTGGCCGTTTTCGTAAATGTTATTTCGGTATCAGTGGATTATTGTGGAAAGTAATCGTTAGTTGGTTCTCACTAGGAATTCATGTTCTGAAAAGCTGAGATTATGAATCCATCAACATATAGTACACGGTTTGTTCCATTCATAGCCATCGACTAGTGTTCTTTTTTGGATGAGATGTGCATTATTCATACTTGCTGATGTCCTGTGTAATGGTAGTCATTTTTAGTCAAACTGACAAACGTGCGCTCTTTTGTGAAAGTAATATTTTCCAATACCAGTTATACTCGTATTATTATTAGTAGTATTTGCCCCTTGGGTTCCTGAACCATACAGAAGCACTGACTTGATGTTGGTGTTGAAAATCCGGATCTTGTTCACGCTTCATGCTGAGTTGAGTGCAGTAGATCTCCACACTGATTTCAGGTTGATGAAGGCGTGTCTTGCTGTCTTTCCCATCCTGACTTTGACGTCCTCATCTGTGCCTGTGCCTGTGCTGCCTGTAGTTGAAACGATGCTGCCCTGCTTAGGTAGATGGGTAGGTGAAAGAGACTACTTCCTTTAGGTTTCTCCCGTTCATGGTGGTTGATCGCTGGTTGTTGTTGATGCTGTTGTTGGTTGAGTATCTTCATCACCTACCTGTGTCTTCTCTACATTCACTTCGAGTTTGTGCTACAAGACATTTGACATAACTCATCATGGGTGGCGAGATCCAAATGTTGTGTGGTGTTTTCATCGGTCGAGCCAGCGTATGCTCCTCTTTTCACTCCTCACAGTTTGCTGCATGATCCAGTCGAGTCGAGTCGAGTCTAGTGCAGTGCAGCGCAGTGCAGTCTAGTTGACCACAATCAGGAAGATGATCGGTGATAGTAGGTGGCAGCCTTGTCTTACTCCTGTCTTCACTTCACTTCACTTTACTTGAAAGGCATCAGTGAGCTTTCCATTGTGGATCACTTGGCATGTAGCATCATATAGCATAGTATATAGCTGTTGAATGAGGTTGATAAAGGTTTGTGGCACTAAAACGGTAGTGTTGAGGCAGCAGCCTGCCAAATTACTTCTCGGTCGACGCAGTCGAAAGCCTTTTCAAAGTGGATGAAGTTGAGGTAAAGATCTAGTTGACTAGGATTGTATGCTCTGTTCTATGATGATGTGTAGCGTAGCGTCGCGTCGCGTCGCGTCTCGATTTGATCCGCACATGATCTGTTCTTCCTGAATGCATGTAGGCAGGCAGGTAGGCAGGCAGGCAGTTGCGATGGTAATTTTGAATCCAGATGACCTTTCAATCTCTGCAGGATGATGCGGCATAGTATTTTGGTTGCTAGGGGTGGACAGGAGTGGAGCATGATTCCGCACCAGTTCCTGTTGTTGCAAATACTTGGGTCTCCCTTCTTTGGGAGTTAGACAAGGTAGCCCTTCTTCCAATTGATTGGCAGGTACCTTTCCTTCCTTCCATGCCTTGTGCAGTAGTGTTGTGAGGATGTCCGCTGCTGATATCTCTGTGAGTGTATTCAGTGCTTCTGGCAGAATTGCATCTGGTGGTGCTGTTTTCCCGGCTTTTAGGAGCTTCATGGCGTTCAGGACTTGACTTCTGCTTTTGTCGTGATGCGGTGGTGGTGGTGGTCGACTGGAGAGTTTTTTGAAGTGGTCAGCCTTAGTTTATCTTCTTTGGTAATTAGATTTCCTTGATCATTTTTTATTGGTTTCATCTGTGTTGATCTCTTCCCAGATAGCAATCTCGTTATTTGGTTGGTATAGTGTTGTCAGGTCTCTGTTACCAGTGGCCTGTTGTGCTTCAGTTGCAAGTGTGTCGTAGAAGTGTCTTTTGTGTTTGCGTGCACTCTTCTTGACTTCATTGTCCATTGTAATGTTTTGTGGGTTGTGTTCAGTTCTTCTTTTCGTTGTTCATCCGTGCACTTGACTGGACTGCACTGTACTGCACTGGTTCATCTTCTGCTTCACTATCTTCCTCTCTGTGCTCTATCAGCTTCCATGTGTGTGTCTGTGGAGATCCATTCCTTGTGTTGTCTTGTCTTGTGTTGTTTTGTCTTGTCTCTTCTTTCTTCCTAACACGGTTATGCAGGTTTCCTTCCACGTCTTTTTCAAAGAGTTCTATTGTTCTTGCACACAGGTTTCTTCAGGGATGTTGCTTAATGTCTCCCATGTTTTACTGATGGCTGACTGACGTGAATATGTCGCTTGTAGTTTTGTGCTTGAGTTTCTGTTTTGGATGTTGAAGTAGAACTGTGGTCTATTACCAACTTGTTATTTGTAGTTGTGTAGCGTAGTGTGTCATTGTATGATTGTGACTTTGCTTCCTTTTAATTGAATGTTGGTGTGATGATGGTGCATGAGGTGATTGGTTCCCAGTGCGTGAGAGAGAGAGAGAGAGAGAGAGAGTGTCTTCGATGCTTCTGGGGACATTATGATATGCACTCGAAAATTCAGTGTGCTGGTGGTTGTCGTCTGAGTGACAATGTCGGAGTAGATTATTGATTGTACAGTTGACAGTTTGTAGAGTCCACTTCCATTCCATGTTGTTTCGCAGATTCCTAGCACTTGACTGCTATACCTTCTCACCTCGTTTGCAATGTAGGCATTCCATGTCGCGATGTTTACTTTCGGTTTCTTTGAGAGAAGAGAAGACACATTGTCCGACTGGCTTCTCGAAGGCTTTCACGAACTGGCGTCATTTCGTCTCCCCGATTGCAGTGAGGAATAAGTTTGTTTGTATATTTGTGTACTTTGTTTGTGTTATGAAGTTTCTTTAGAGATTGAATAGTTTTTCCGTGGTGGGGTTGGTAGCCGTATGCCCAATCTTCCCTCTTTATATGGGCTTTGACCGGCTAGTAACTTGTGATCTAATTAACCGGGCGAGGTTTATGTTATCTGCTTTTTGTGCACATTCCAGTCATCGGAACTAAATATATCTAGTGAATGAATGCTCTTGTAATCTTTACTCTTGACCTTATTCTGTTTGTTCACTTTTAGTTGTATGGAAAGATAGGAGATTTCTGTGTTTTGTTCATTATTGTTATTCAGGACACCAGTGACATCTTGTATTCATAATGGAAAATCTAAGTGTTTACTTTTACGCTATTTTTGCTACTTTATGCAGATTTCTTTATTATCCACGATACTTCCGAATGATATCATCATCAAAGCTTTTGAGGATCGTATTGATCTTTATTCCATAATGATTATTGGAGCTTCAGGTACACCTTATGAACATTGTTTATTCTTCTTTGATATTGGTCTCCCATCGAGTTATCCAACAACTCCACCACAGGTAATTATTAGATGTTGTTACTGATTATTCCGCAGTTATCTTTCAGAAAATAAAAATATGTGGACGTTCTTTTCCCCAATGACGTTTAATAATATTATACCGTAGTTTTATTTGTAAGTACAGCTGGATACAGTTTTAGTTCAGTGACTTAAGTAATTAATTTCAAAAGACACCATTGATTTTCATCACTATAGTTTCTCTGTAAATTGGATGTGTAAGTTTACACCTGTTGTATTGTGACTTCTGTTCAGCTGTCTCTTCATGATTCACCAAATAAGGGTGTATATAATGATGAATGAGTTACCTTATCAAAAGAATACTTATCATTTCTGCTTTGCCAGTTGTATAATACTTTTGCTCATGTATGTAATTTCAATATGTATTAACTGTACAATTGAGTCTCTAATTTTCCGGTGTTGCTTCCACTGACTTGAACCATCCAAGATAGGCAGTTTATTGTTGTGGGTTTCATGTCGTTGAAAAAGTTGTTGAGCAAACTATACGTGTTTTCTGATTTATTCTTTTTAGTGATAATGATAATACAGCCAACTGCATATTGTTTGCTGCACAATATTTTATAGTGACATTTAGTAATGTGTAATGTTGCGGTTTTCATCACAGAAATGTATCTTCATTATTTCGTCTAATAAAGCACTGTTTTTTATCCGTTTCTCAACCAAAACTGATACCTTAATTTTTGGGGGTAACGGGACAGTTTTTATTGGCTTTTACATACAGAAGTTTGTTTGAAGATTTAGGTTTGGATCCTCACACCGACACCGAGTTTTTATTGTAAATGTGGTGCTTTTATTCTTGTGTAGTTCCAATTTTACTTGCTCATAACTGTTATAGAAGTTTCTGTTTAGTTCTGTTTTTGTGCACTAATGAAAATATGTTCTCTGACTTACACCGTGTAAGGAATTGGTGTGATATTCGATGGACTGCGGTGCAGTTCGCTCTGTATAAAGAAATGTAGGCTTCCTGGTTGAGGCGTGCATTACAATCTAAATCGATGGTTGGAGATTATTGTTGGCAATACGGCTCAGAATGAGTCTCATTGACACAGATGTGTCCACGCATTATCTTCATTTCAATCGCCACAACAAATTTCGTCTTTTTGTATTCTTTCTTCCTCTATATCGCTACTTTCTTCTACCTTCGATCGCTTTCCTCTCTATTTTCTGCTTTTCGTTTTGTTGTCTGATATGCTGATATGAAGTGTACCAGCTTGAATCGTTACTCAGTTATGGCAGGTCGCACGTTGGTGCTGATTGAGTCCTGGAGTGGTAATCGAAACTTGTGTTGGTGGAATCACAGAAATAGAGTCTAGTTAATTGTACTTAAGAGACCGATAAACTGAGCCCATATCTTTGCCTAGGATTTTGTGAATATTTACCCATTATCGATGGATGTTAAGTAAATCCCAACTGAGTGGGTATGCATAATCTTATAAAACAATCACTTACAGTCGTGCAGAATATATGATAATTAAAATAACTGAACTGTTTATCAAGAATTACATAGTCAGTCAATGTTGAAAGATCGATTTTCAGAAACTAGTAATGGGTGTTGAACTGTTTTTTATCTGCTACGTCAATCTCATCTGTGGTTACCTATTATATCGTCGGTCAAATTACTTCGATTCTGGATTATTCATAACGCGTTAATAAGTATTCAGACAAGCCTTGCATGTGGAACGAATAATAAACAACGAAAGACAAGAGATTTTGTGAATCCAACTCTTAAAGTTTCTCAAGTCGTTTGATCTGAAAACGAACACGTTTTTAACTGTTCTGCATATTGAGTATTTAGTTTCATAATGTAATTCTCCGTTGACCTGATTGAATCACTTTAACGGAAGCAGTCACTGTGATTATTCTGGTCAATCTATTGATTGATCACTTGGTTTTTTTTTTTTTACAAGTTTAGGCGATATGAGCTTCAGATTAACCTTGCAGTTGACCTGATTTCATATCATTAGGAATTGACTCACAGTTTTCTTCTGTAAAATTGTGAAATGTTAAATAGTGTATGTATAAAGTACTTGTGCCATCGTGTTATCACGATGTTAAATCGAGGCAAAAAACGTGTCATCTATCTATCTTTATGTTAATGTTAACTGTAAACAATGTGAATATGGTCAATCTGTTTAATTTTGATCAAAGTGGTTGTCAGTTGTTTTTGCTAACGAGTACTAGTGTAGTTGATTATGTTGTCTATTTGAGTTGTGGAGACTGTATAAGCTATTTTGTTGCAAATCCTTAAATTGAGAATAGTATTTCTTTACATCATTTAGTACATTTTGTACACTCTTCTCAATATCTCTTCAACTAAAGCTTGTTCGAAAATACACGGTAACTTGCTTCTTCTATTGTTTCACTTGTTTTCGCGTCTGCTTAAAATTCTTACAGAAAACTCACTTCCTTTTCCCAAACGTATGAACTCAACACGTCTCTGGCAGAGCCAAAAAAAAGTGGAAGCAAATAACCGTATATTTTCATGTAATCAAGAACATGCATTACAAAATTGTACTTGTAGGGAAATTGGGTAGTGCAGATAAACAATCTCTGGTTGTAGAAATGTTAGAAGAAGTGTTGAGTGTAATGGAGTCCTAATTTTTCGCAATAGTAATTTTTTGGTCCATTACAGAGTCGTCGTGAAGTTAGCTAATTGTTCCTTTGTTATCTTGCTCTTTGTGAAAGAATAGTATTTGTTTTGATACTGGGTGATGATTAAAGTTGAAATGAGAATTCTGACTGCGGCAGGATTGGGACCAGTGACCACCGGGTTTTTGACCCGGTACTCTACCAACTGAACTACGAGACCTGACTGCTGACCAGACTTATTTAACTTCAATCATCACTTAGTATCAGTACTAGTCTGCCAAACTACGGCTATATCAGATTGTCAAAATGATAATCAATACAATGCTCCTCCTCTCTAATTCAAATAGATTTGGATTGGGTTGAGACGTCCTGACTGGGCAGCCTATGTGATTATGATTGCGCGATAGTAACGCGTTACGAATTCACATGGTAGTCTGGTGAAACGCTTGGTGATTGGAGTGAGATAAAAACCTAGTCATCAGTCGGGTCTCTTATCTCAATTGATAGAGCATCGGACCTGAAACTCAGTGGTCTCTGATTCGAATCTTGGCGCAGCTCAAATTTTCATTTCACCTTCAATAATAACTCTATCAATATTAGTCTGCTAAACCGCAGCTATCTTAGTGAAAGGTAAAACTGTTCTTGAATTCAATTCAGATATTACACATGAAATATGAAGTATTAGCTTCTAAAATTACATAATATAAAGACAGAGAGATGTCACTGAAACCGTGCATCGGTAGTGTAATTTTAACCCTTTTTTTTTCACGAGGCATGTTGAGTAGCAAGCCGAATCACCAATCTTAGTGTATGAATACGTTTGAATAGATCGGTTTCATTTTAATAAAAGGTGATTTGATTGTACTATAGTAAGTGAACCGAATTATGGACTTGTGATATTTTTACAATTGCTTTTAAGTCGTTGATTTCCAAAAACACTATGCAATTTCACAATTCAGCTATTGAATTCTGATGACATTCATGTTGATCGATGCCTGTAGAGTGCCTTTATAGAGAATTATTTTTCATACGGCTAACTTGTAGTTTAGAATGATTTTCATTGTGAGGTTTTGTTAAGTCACTAAACGACGTAGGTCTATGTCCTCAGAAGTTATACGCTTCTCAAACTTTCTTCCAGTTGCTGTTGTTTTCACCTCGTATGCAGAGATCCCTTCACAAGCAAGTGTAATATCAGCAAGAGATGTAGTGAGTTTGTGGCTCATTGCTTTAGGCAATTGACTTTCAAGTAATAGATCTTAGGTTTGTATTCCTGTCACACCTACTTCTGCCTTGGTAACCGGATAAAATTATGAACCAGCACAGCGTAGGTGTGGCTCGTAGCGTAGCATACAGTCGTGTACGCAGTTAAGTTGAATATTGATCGATGTAGTGTTACCACCAGTACTAGAGCCTTTTAGCTTGATCCAGAATGTTCGTTTTTGGGGTAATCATCCTTTTCATTGATCACCTGTTGTGCATACTCGAACTGTGAAGTTTCAACTTATTGAATTTTCATGTATTCTCATAATGAATATTTACTGAAAGCTTCCACTGATCTTTCGGAACTTATCTTCAAAGTTTTTCGTTTTGAAAAGAATCGAGTGTGTATGTTATTTAAAAGTGAACTTGTGACTCTTTTTCTGATCTTGATTGCATCGGCAATGCTACAATTGTGTTCAGCACGAACTAGTGTTTATAGTTTGGAGTTCTTGGTTTTTGTAATTGATTTTAGGATTAGCAGTGATGTCAGTTTTTGAGCGTATTATTCATTAATTGTTTCATGAACACCATTGATATTTAATCGTCTTTGATTTCCTTTCAATGGTAGTGTTTAAAGTCTGGTAATAAATTATCAATTTAGGTTCACTATTACAGCTTTGGCAACGAGAGAGTCAACCCGAATCTGTATATCAATGGGCATATCTGTCTATCCCTGTTGGGAACATGGAGTGGTCAAGGGACTGAGAATTGGAGTGCAGAAACCTCTAATCTGCTTCAATTACTCATTTCGATTCAAGGTGAGGAACATTATTTTTAAGTTAAAACTAATGACTAAGTAGATATTTATACTAGGTGGTGATTTAAGATGAAATAAAAATTTTGGCAGTGGCAGAATTCGAACCAGTAGCCACCGGGTCTCTTGTCTGATGCTTTACTAACCGATCTCAGATATTCCAAAGATATTTATGCATAGATATCATAGATTTCCAGATGGAAGTGTACTTTATCTATGGTTGTTGTATAATTTATAAATATTTAATGAAACAGTCTCTTTAGTTGGTTAAACTGGTTAATAAATAGTATTTTCACTGAACTTGGACTCGAAATGCACTCAGCAACCTTGTGCACATTCTTACAGTAGGCAATAAACTACACCTGTCGTGTGATGGCTGGTTGTCCGAACTCTAGTGGGCAGAGCGGGGCTCGAACAAGCGACCCACTGGTTGAAAGTCATCTCCCTGAACCAATGAACCACAGCCTCATAGCTCAGAACGGGGTTACTCTTTTTGTGAGAGGTTGAGAAGGATTTACATGCTTACAACTACTTATATTCAATTAATTTGGAGGTTAGATAGTGCTTCTTGGAATCATGAAATCTTACATTTTGCAGTTTTTTTTCTCTTTACGTTCTTACGGAAGTTCAACAGGCCTCTTTCGATTTGGGCAATAGGGAAACGCACAGTTTATATTTGTAGTCATGGTAAATGAAGAAATGAAATAAATGTTTATCATTGTTTATCTCCACTATCTTTTTTGGTACTCCAACACGTTGAAATACTTGACCAGGTTTTAGTTCCATCTTCAACCTATTACCAAGTTTGCATAATCGTAGATTTATCGTTATTACTTTGAAATTTTATCTCTCTTACTTCTAATTCGGTTTGAATAGGGCTAATTCTCAACTCTGAACCATATTTTAACGAAGCTGGCTACGAAGAACAACGTTCAAATCCGGCATTTCAAGAACAAAGTCGTATTTATAACGAGGCTGTAGTAGCTCTCAATTTACAGTCGATGATCAGTATTTTACAAAATCCTTTTCCGATTTTCCGAAAGGAAATTATTAAACACTGTGTAGATAAATATAAGGAGTAAGTAACGTCTCTATAGATTTGATTTAATTTCTGCTTTATCAGTTTGTCAAACTAATTCATGTATCTCTTAAATTGATGGGGCATTTTTGTCAGCAGAGGATGGAACTAATGGTTTTTTGAGTAACGTTTTATGGTATTAAAATTCACAAAAAGAGGATGTTATGTCGTAAGGAACGAACGAATAAAAGAACAGAAATGCTCATGTTTTTTTTCGAAGGATGAGGATTTAGTACAGATATGCTACTGTGAATCATTTTCAGACAACATTAAACTTCTATTTCTTAGTCTGAGTGTGACGAACTGTCGAGTGCTCTGTAGTACTACTGTCTTGTTCCCCGACTTTGCATTTTACCACCCAACATTGTTCGTAACTATTATCAAAACTAACACTTACTTCATTTTCTAGCTGTTTTAATCTGTCATGTTGAATAAATCAGTTTGAATGACAGTTTACAAATCACACATTTCAGAAAAGGTGTTTCAAAGATACTATCAGTTATGCCGTTTTTCTAAACGACTTAGTCTTTCGTAGGAGAATTACTAGCCTTTAGACAACCCAGTCAGTTCAAACTGAATTCTATCGGTGTGCACCTGCATACTTCTTTGAAAATCAAGAAAACATATTTGATTTCGTTTTTTTCCATTCTGGTATAGGTTTCAGACTTTGGAAGCTCCTATGTACAGTTGTCTATGCAATTGTATGAGGTACAAGGTGATATTCTCTTGGCTCTAATCGTTATTCATGGTTACGAAGCAAGTAGTCAATGATTTCTTAGTAACGAGGTTTTTGAGGGTATTTTTAGACCTAATTAGGCCGTTATTCATTCAGTGAAGCTTACTGCTGTAAACAACGGGAAGAGCATAGAGATATATTATGAGGCAAACACTACCTCAGAACAGAAAGCAAAGTCAGTTTTGAATTAGATGCTAATAATGTCATTTTACTTGTTACTGTCTAATAATAGTATCCTAGTGAGAGGAAGAAGTTTTGCAAGAATCAACATTGAGAAATATTTTTCTGAGACCTATGTATATAAAAAAAAGTAAGTTCATCAAAAATTGGTGTTGTTGACTTTGATTTTGTCTGGAGGCTGAAACAAGTGATTAAATTAGACCTATTATGGCATAAAAGCCAGAATCTTTATGGCAGACGGGTGATTAACGCGTTACCACTGGGTTTTCTTAAAAGCACAAGA